TATCCTTCTTTTTCAAAGATTTGCAGAAAAATGTGTTCTTTATATATGACGTCATCATGCATTGTCGCCTTTTTTCATGACGTCACAATAGGAATTTCAGAAGAAACCGAGAAAATTTGACGTCATAATTAAAATTCGACTTATCATTTGCCGAGAACAGATATTTCACTAGTGAGGAGAAATATTTTTCTCACACCGATCAAGAAATGTGAAAATAGCACAAAAATTAGAGAAACTTATTTTTATGTGAGAGAATACATGTAAAAGACAGTATGTCTGATATGACCAAAGTAAGTGAGGCATATAAGAATGGACTAGGTGGCCTACTTTTGCTTGCTTAGATAACTTTTCATAGAAATGCAAGTAAAAAACGAAGTATGTTTACCTACATGTGTATATCATCTGTTGTCTTTTTATTATTATTAATATTATTTTGTGGATATAATTGTCCTTTTATAGGCTGCAAATTATAGGTTTCATAACGAGTGAGAATTGGATATTGCTTGATATCCGATTCTCACGAGTTATTAAACTTATTTCTGATATGGTCAACACTCTCATTATGTTAAATTAAAAATTCCGCGAATAGTTGATCTAGTCTTATGCACATAATTGTATGACGTCAAATGTCCTGTTCAGGCGTCAATTTTTAACATCAGAAACTTTTTGTACGCTTCAGAATGTAATAAACTTTGACAATAAGAAGATTTTCAGCTGAAAAGTGTGAGTGTTTTGTATATTATAGAAGAAATCTCATATGTCCGTTGCCATGGCGAAATGTAAATCGTCTAAACCTTTGAATGTCATCAAAATCAATAACCTAACGAACAGCCAATGGAAATGTCGTAATATCGTCTCATGGTGATGGACAATTCACACAATTTAAGGCAGTTTTCGTATCACTTTTTCGTATCACACTCCTAGCAGTGTGGTACGAGAAATATCTCTTCATACAAGAAATAGACAACAGGACACAACCATAAGAAAATTGATAATAAAACACTTTTTTTTCTATTTTTACATACATTTTCATGTCACAATAAGACGCTATCGTCCTGATATGTATGTAATATTTGCCACTGGATCACATAGCTCAACTAAAATATTTCCAACTCTTTACATTATGTGTTTTTTTCCTCGTATGATGACAATCACTACAATGTACTGTCTTTATGTTTGATTATAAAATTTGATATAATTGGTTTATATTTTTCAGTAATGACAGAAGCACTACAATAAACATTAACTTACTTTCGAACAAGGTAATAATAAGAGCTTGTTTTGTCTTTTTTCTGTGGCTCTTTAGCAATACGTTCCAAAATTTCTTCATATTTTTCCCGGTTACATATGTTACATTTTAATTTTCCCTCAAAATATTTGCAGTTACTTTTGTGTGTAAGTCTGCTCTGAATTTTAAGACATCTGTGCCTGAGCCATTTTTCTACTGTAAAAAAGATCTTAATTATTTCCGTGGAATCCCTAGTAAAAATTATGGATTTTTTAAAATCACTAATTAGTTCAGTGATTATATCCCTGAAATTTCAAATTCACTGTAACATATGCATACCCTGCCACGTCTGATCTGTGTTTTTGTTAGATGTTTTTATGCTTTGTATCGATCTGATGAGTTAAGCCCCTTTCAACTGATTTTTATAGTTGTTCTTATGTTGAACTGTTACACCACTGTACCAGATTAGGGGAGGGTTTGTGCCTTCAAACATGTTTAACCCGCCACATTGTTGATGTCCCAATTCAGGAGCCTGTAGTTCAGTGTTGTCGTTACTTCATGTCTGTCATATTTGTTTTTCGAAAATTGTTTTGTTAAAAATTAGGCCATTGGTTTTCTCAAATGGATTGTTTTATATTTTTCATGTCAGGGATTTTTATATCCGACTAGTATACGGTATGGGTTTTTCTCATGGTTGAATGCCGTACGGTTGTCTATAGTTGCTTACATCCACTTCAACTGGACTTCGGTTGATATTTGTTTTATTGGCAATCATACCATATCTCCTTATTTTTATATGGTTACGTTTTTACAAATGACCTTATCAATGATACCTCACAGGAGTTTTGACTACAGGGCTGTTGATAACCGCAGGAATGAAACTTTCATAAGCAGTGAATTAAATTAGAAAAATGGCGTGATTATATATTATTTGCTTATTTTGTAGTTGTAACTTATTTAACATATACTTATTGTAGTTCATGCTGGTAATGATGGAAACTGGAATTCACTTGGATTTTTTAAATGACAATACAGTTTATCAAAAAAATCATTAAATATCTAAAAAAAGAGGCAAAGAATGGTATTATTTTATTGTATGTTTGACAGAAAAAAAATTTGTTTATTTGCACTCATTATGAAACAGTCGGAGTAAAATTTGCATACTTTTGTGCTTTGGGAATTCCTATATGAAGATTAAGAACAAGATAAGGTATATTTTTAAATTACAAAAGTGCGAACATGTCATAATGTACCTAGAGAGATATGTTTATTTACTGTAAAGTTGACAATGAAAAACTTAAAGTGTAATGTTTTTGACGGGAGGTAGTGTATCATTGTAGCAGCATAAATATAGGTAGAAATCAGTTTGCAGCTTTGTCCTTTGTTGCGTGAATAGTCTGAGGAAAGGTACCATCATAGTTTATCTAAGTTTGTTTCAATTTGTGAAGACCGAAATTTGATTTTTAAACCACCTGCTGTACATGTTGACTTTTAGAAAGAGTCATGGTTGTAATAAGGAATTTACTTCCATCCACCCCACCCTCTTGAAGTGTTGTCGTTTTCATCTGACATAAATATGATAGGGAAATGTTGATTCTTTTAGCTGTATATACATATATAATGTTTTGTGTTTTTGATATAAATGATTTTTTAAACTTTATTACCATGATAACCCATATGTTTATGTTGATAAAGCGCAAATGTTCTATTGAAAAAGCGCAAATGTCCTTTTTTAAAAAGCGCAAACTTTTTCCTAAAAATCAAAGCGCAAATATCCTATCAAAAAGCGCAAAGTATCCCGCCAACCGAAATTTTTTTCAATGACCTACAACTAGAATTTTCACAGATTACCGGAAAGACAATTCATCTGATATTTTTGTGTCGATATATAAAACATAAGTAGTGTGCTCAGATTAGAATAATAAATCAAAAACTGATCAACTGTAATACCTGATAATTTGTAGGTTATTATGTTAATAACCTATGTATTACAGTTGATCAGTTTGATATGAGGCTTTCGTTTAATTATTCATGTTATTCTAATACAAAGATATTGTGAACACACTATTCAATTCTTGGATAGATATGAAAACACAAATAAAAAAAAGTGCGTACAATTCTAAATTAAATTCTTCTTATCCACAGCTACATTTAACAGGTCGGGTACATTTTCTTATATGGATATGCAATATTGAGCATACGAAATTAAATGCTTACGCCAATGCACGTTTTAGTGTTCTTTACAAATTAAGCATTTTTTTCAAACTGGGCGATTGATCTGCAAATCAACTGAATGAGTTGCAATGCATGACGGACTACTATGTGTTTACAGTTTTTTTTATAACTGCATGATATACAAACACGATTTTTCATATATGCCGGAAAAAGAATGTATCTTACTTTTTCTTCATTTGTGTTTACATTTACATTATAAAATAGTTAGTTCTATGCTCAAATTCACGATTAATTTCCTTGTTGCTATATATACGAACAGAGTGGTTTAAAAACTCGGACCATATGTCCAATAATGAATGAATAAACAAGGAAAAATTTAGGCATTCGTTCCGACTCATATGAAAATAAGAAGAGGTCTGCAAGGACAGGCGCACAGTTGGTTCCCATAGGAATGCCGACAATTTGTTGAAAAAGTCTACCTCTAAATTCGACAAATATGTTGTCAATAAGAAACGCCAGCATACTGATCACTTGTTCCTCTGTGTAGCATGTTTTACCATTTTGTTCACTTTTAACAAAATATGCCGTATTATATGGTATCAAAAAGCAATACATCTTTAGAGTATGCTACCGTTTTTATAGTGAAAAGCATTGTGGATTATTTCTTTTAGACGATTTTTCAATTTCACATGGGGAATGGTGGTATACAGTTTTGATTAGACAAAAGATTTGATAGAATTAATTTCAGAGAAAGATCGAAATTTAAAATTATTCAGAAGTTCCTTAGAGTTTTTTCGAATCCACATATGGTTAATACCACTATGCAAGTAAACAGTTTCACAGTACTTTTGAATACCCTCTTTCACTGCGGACAGAATTTTTGTCAATTTAATGGACAATTCCTTTGTAGAACATGCAGATGAGCCGGCAATGTACCGTTGTTTGTATGGAATTTTGTGAAGCTTAGGTATCCAATACAATCAAGATAAGTCCTCAGATTTGCTGTTCAATGTAATGTTCATTGAAGCCATGAAGGACTTCTGATTAGCCAAAATCTCATCCTTGTCAAATGATATGTTTTTGTTTGTGGGATTACCTGAGTTCTCATTTATTCCTATTTTTTTAACAAGACACTCGTAGTAATACGATTTACATACAAAAAAAAAATAGTTTTAAGATATTTCGTGAAACAAACCCCATACATTGAAGTTTTCTATAATGATAATCGAAATGTGTTAATTAATTTTTTCTATATTTCAATGATATGAGCTCTGTACATTTATTATTTTTTCAAAGGAAACTGTTGGGTGTGAAGATGAAAAGAATATTAAAAACAAATTTCTTTTAAATTTTTATCTTATGTATCGAAATGTGAAACAAGTGATTATTGACATCACCACTAGAAGGTCTCTGACAGACTGTGTATGCGTGAAATCGTTGTTATCGATGACAAACAAGTTAAAGGTAAATAATTCGCTATTATACACAACAAACGTATTACGGTTGTCCACACAATTACGATTTTGCCTCTACTATATTAACAATACTTTAATTCATTACATCGTATAGTATGTAAAAAGAATAAAGATACTGAAAGTATTGCAAACTATTTATTATAAAAACATCACAAAAAAGAAATAAAATCTAAAGCAATCTAAAATCATTTCAATAAACTATTCATAGATACCAGGAGTAAAGTTTTGTACGCCAGATGCGTGTTCCGATCATCCACAAAAGACGCTCGAATCAAAAAGGTAAACAAAGCCAAATAAAGTACGTAGTTGAAGAGCATTGGGGACTTAAAATTTCGAGAGGTTTTTCCAAATACAGATAAGGTAATCTATTCATTTATGTTAACTGCGACAAGTACTAATGTACTGCTCTATAATTTTCATCTTCATATTAACATTGATGAAACTGAAATATTTTAGAATTCCCGTTTACACAATGTGCTATTCATTTAAAATAATTTACTTACATAAACAAAGTATGTGATCATAACTGCAAACTCTTTTTATTCAATGCCTGTTCATCCAAGTAAGACATGTTCTCCTTTTTTTATAGACGTTGGGAACTATGACAGAGACACGATTAATCGACTTACTGATTGATAATGATCGTAAAACTTTAGTAGTGTCAGATTATGATATACCATTTTATGAAAGGCAAAGGGTATAATAACAATTTCTTGTCATTTAATTTATATGCATATAAAAATAACACACTAGCTATAATAAATAATGAAATATAGATAAATGTCTAAAATATTTTCAATACACAAATCACAAAACAGTAAATAATAAAGTATAATTCTATATTTGAAAGCAAATGGTATAGGTTTCAAAAGTCTTGATTACATAATCTTCATTTCAAATGTATATATATATAAACTAATTGTGTATATAAGATAACACTTTTACCATCATGAACTCACATTGAAAAACAAGCCTTTCAATTTTTAATGACTGAATCAATAAACACCTAAATTTCTTCACTCTATAAAACCGATATAAATAACACATGATAATAAATATACAACCAAAACAGTATATACTGCCAAAAACAATTCATTCTGTCAGCAAACGTGTAAAAATGTACAAACCAAAAACACAGACATTTGGTTAAAATATGAGGAAATAATATTTGCGATACATCTTCTTGCAATGGTTCATCAACAGTAAAAGCATATCAAGCAAGAGAGTGACGACATTAAGCATTTGAGAAAAAAGGCCTTTGTCACACGACAAAAATTGGAAATAAGACCAACTATGAATCAGAGGTATAAACTTCGCTATTTAGTTTTGGTTGGCTTATTTAAATTAAAATGTTCAACAAAATAGACAAAAGAAAAGCAGTTTTATTCATTTATGGATTTAAAAGTCGACACCAATTATGATTTCATCGACTAAAAGAAAATATACATGCTACAGAAAAAGTGGAGACATAAATTGAAATGAGTAATTAGTATCTGCATGAAAACTAATAATAGTAACTAGATGTTTCAAATAGTTCAAAGGAAGATGTTGGCAGTTGCAAACTAAAAGAGAGGCGAAAGATACCAAAGGTACATTCAAACTCACAAGTCAAAAATAAACTGACAACGCCATGGCTAAAAACGAAAAACACAAACAGACAAACAACAGTACAAAAAACACAACATAGAAAACTAAAGACTGAGCAACACGAAACCCACCAAAAACTGGGTATTGATCTCAGGTGCTCCGGAAGGGTAAGCAGATCCTGCTCCACATTTGTCACCCGTCATGTTGCTCATTTTTGTACAAACCCGATGATAAGTCTAATTCGATAGGTCACATTCGGGAATAGGGGACGGGATTGTAGGTACGACAATTGGAACATATCCGTTGTCATCTATGAAACGGAAATTCCATAACAGTTAACCGACTCGTGATGGCGACGGTAAAATTTACGAAGGGACGATTTTAACTTCACCACCTGGAACTCTTGGTTTAATAGCTTCCGTGTGAGCAACAACTCTCTATCAAAGAAATCGTGATAGGAAATACATTACAATATGCATTAGAGACTTAACCTAGTAACATATATAACGTTACAGCTTCAATCCTTAATTCACAGCTGATATCGAAATCTTATGTTTGGACTGCAATGTAACTGCATATTTACATTTTCAGACAGCATTAAACGTCTTTTTCATCTTTTCTTGTTTTGTGAAAAGTGGCTTTGGAATTTTAATTTTTGGTAAATCATGTATGAGTCAAAGTTATCAAAACCTCTCCCTTTCCTGCAAGTGTTACCTATACAATATTTGGAATTTTGCCGTTCATTTTTCCGTTCCAAATCACTGATAAATGTTTCTGCAGCCCGAGCGTTTCCCAATTCTAACATTTTTACTGAATGGGGAGTCTGCATGGTGGGTGATTCGTGCATCGCAAGAGTTGTTTAGTTTGTTTACGAACGCGGTCTTGTTCTTCTGGAGTTCGTTCCCTTATTTTCGTTTTATATCTCGTATTTTCTTAATATACTTAAGAGATTTGAACACTTATTAACTACTGTTTCTTCTAATTAATACTAGATTAGATTAATATATTCTAACAAAAAGATTGAAATGTTTCATTAAACTTTGTTCATTAAAGCTATTGAAAATTACAGTTGCATACAACTTGTCTTTGTGAGGAACGAAACTTTTGTTCTGAAAAAAAAGTTTTGGCTACAAGAAAACTTATATGTGAGACATACATCATCAAAAATCATGATCTATAATTGATATCATAATCGTAGTAGTGATATGAAATATTTTACCGAAGTCTCGGTTTAACTGTTTAAACAATTCATTTTGCTGTATACTATACAGATGCGTAACATGGATGACATTTCATTGCACCAAATAGAATCATAAAAATAAAATTGAGAATGAAAATGGGGAATATGTCAAAGAGACAACAACCCGACCAAAGAGCAGACAACAGCCGAAGGCCAGCAATGGGTATTCAATGCAGCGAGGAAATCCCGCCCCCGGAGGTGGTCCTCAGCTGACCCCTAACTAAAATTGTGTGCTAAAACTCCAAAACATATAAATGAACTAAAATTAAAAAACATACTAGACTAACAAAGGCCAGAGGCCCCTGACTTGGGACAGGCGCAAAAATGTTACAAGATACTTTACTAAAAATTTCTTAATGGTCAAATTTGAATGATCTCACCGAAATCTTTAGCCAGTGACTAGTTAATTGGCTATTAACTGATATGTGTCAGAAATGCATGTTCGAAAATATTATTTGATATCAGTAACCGCAATTGAATTCTCATTTACTTCTTGGTGAATAAGTAGCCAATGTGTTGTATTAATTTTGAAAAACAAGCGACATAAAGATTTCCCAACTTTTGAAAACTCGATGGTCGCTCTTTTTGTCCCTTTTAAAATTTAAACTATAGGATTTAGTCGAATGTTTGTGGGCTTCTGTCAGCTCTTTTCTTTTTACTTTTTCCAGAATTTTATTTCGTTATGGCGTTGTCAATCATGGTTTGAACTGCTTTGTTAAATTCGCTCGTAGTCTTTTTTAACAGGGTATACTAAAACCGTACATAACATTTCATTATACTAATGAATAAGTAAAAAAATAATTTTAAATCTTCAAAATATTTCACATAATAACTTGCACATTCACATACATACATGCTTTACATACACATATATCATTTTCATCTCTCAAAATTTTTATTCTTAACTTTGTTGTTCGTTATTTGTCCTCAAGTAACATCCTAGAATACTCAAAATAAATTGTAAATCTCAGTATACTGTTTTGACTACAGTTTCTTTGTCTTCAACATGGTCATGAACTGGTTTTATGGACGTTTCTGCTTCATTATCACGGGGATGCGCGTCGGATGTCTTAATGCTATCTTTCGCTGGATGTTTTATTTTCTTTTGCCAAGTTTTGATGACGCCGAGAATTTTTACTGCTTCTGGCAAAGATTTAAGTTTGGAACTTTCGATATTTTTTGTTACCATTTCCCCAATACTTTCCATTTTTTCATGTTTTGGAATGTCAATCTTTCTTTGCGTTGCAAGTAACTCTCTGTCTTTATCTGATTTACTAATCTCCTCTGATCTTTTATGATAATGACCAGGAGACATAAGGGATTCCAATAGTTCTCTATATGCTACTTCAAGTAAATATTCTTTACTATGGATTAAGCTTGTGCTAGCTGTAATGTGGATTAAAGTTGAAAATCGATGATATAGCATGCAGAGGAATTGGAGGAGAAGCAGGAATCCAAAAACTATTGTAAATAATAATGCTATGGGAGCGATCTGCAGGTTTTTACTTGAACATTCGATTTTAATGGCTAAAGAATCTTTAAATGTATTTGCCTGAGTCAAACTATACATTGTAGTAACAAGGACCGCATTCACCAAAAACACAAACAAACTCACTCGATTACGCAAACTTAGCAAGTTACATTGAAGCTGTTGCTCGGTTGCATGGTCTCTTTGTATTGGCTTTAAGTATCTACTAATGTTCCGCTCCCAAAATTTAAATTCCGATGTTTCTATTTTAGGAACGTAATCATTAAAATACAAATGATATTTGTCGTCCTCCCATAATTCAGGCCATTGTTGTGATGGATCTTCTTGTTCATTGATCCTGTGCAAGGTTTGGTCTATGTGGGAAAAAAAAATCCATGTCAGTTGTTTTGAAAAATAATATATGGGGTTTTCATTCTTTTTAATATGATGTTGTTGATATCAACTGCTGTGTTTTAATATATTTGGTTTGTGGGTCCATTAACGTTGTAATTTGAAATAAAAAAAGCAACAATTATCAGAAGCAGTATATAACAATTGTATAATGGTATAGCTTTTTACACATACTTTTAAAGAGATCCCAGCGAATATGAATTAGATCAAGTCTACCGGACTAGGACTATGCTACTTAATTGCAATCATATATGAAAGAATTTCTCGATTGATTGATTGATTGATTGGTGTTTGACGTCAATTTCATCACTATTGTTCTTTTTCGTGGTGTTCGTTTTTTATTGGTGGGGGAAACATGAGTGCCCGGAGAGAACCACCGACCTTTGGAAGGAAAACTGACAATCCTAGTCAATTTAGTTTAGCGTCGAGTGCTCCTGCTATATGTGGGATTCGAACTCACAATCTCAGTTGTGACAGGCTATTGATACAGTAATTCGATTACTTAGATCACTCGGCCATAGAGGCCCTCCGCATTTCACGAAAGTTAATGATTTTCACTGTTGTGTTTAGTAATATCTATGATCATACTAGAAATTTAAAATCATCCAGAATCTTCCTGGTACATATCTGGATATAGGAATTTTAGTTAGTACTGGATTTTATAAGTATAAATTTCATATAAGATCTTTTTACGCATTTCACAAACCTTTTTTAAACTTGTCTTGTGAATACTTCTCGAAAAACATTACGACCTGCATCCTTTTGTTTTTTGTTTGTTTTGGTAAGAGGGGAAGGTCCACTTGTATCTCTTTATTTACAAACGGTACACTGTTGACATCTGTTTGTGTTTCCTGGTCTATTGTTGACTGGCTGCTGCTCATTTCCACTTGTATTCCTATATCTTCAGATGGTGTCTTTTCTGTTTTATCTTTTGCTATTCTTTTATTCATTTCTGCATTCAAAAAGTCTTCTTTCTTGTAGCTATTATCAGCACATAACATGCAACTGAAAATTTTTTAACAAAAAGAAATTTCAAAAACAAGCGTTTACAAGTATTCAGGTTGTGTAAATCAGAGAAATTTTGATTGTACATTTTCATTTAACTATAGCGATAACAAATTGTGAAAAGCCCAGTGCTTAATCTAGCAACAGATAACCTGAAGTCATCGCAGTAGGCACTTTCAGTGTTGGCTTTCAGGAAATCAAAATTACATCCTTACTTCCTTTTGTTTTATGATAAAAAAGGGCGATGAAATAAAAATTCCTTAACTTCACAAAAATCATGATAATGAACGATGTAGCTCGGTCGTCTATATGTTTGACAAACTACAATTATTTCCTACGGTGAAAGCAACGTTTGTATTTATACTTATGATGTTTATCAAAATCCAATCTTTAGCAAGGTACTGTTACATATGAAAAAAGGTTTTCATAATTTGAAAGCATACCAATGATTTTCAATTTTTAACAGTCACAAATGTGTTTCCAAGTTAAAATTTAAATATCTTTCATATAATAATTTTTGGGATGAAACTTACATGCATTGCAACAAACGTATTGTAAGATTGTTTTTGGGTGAATTTGACAACATTCCAGTAACGCCTGCATAAGGAGTATATATCTCCGAGTTTAAACGATATTTCAAAGCTTGCATTTCCTATCATGATTTCCTTAGGATGGTTGCTGCTCACAAGGAAGTTACTGAAGCAAGAGTTCCAAGTCGTGAAATTGAAATCACAGGATTTGTACTTACCTAACATGAGCACCACAAACGAGTGCCACATGTGGATCAGGATCTGCTTACAGCTTACCCTTCCGGAGCATTGAGATCACCCACAGGTTTTTGGTTGGGTTTGTGTTGCTTAGTCTTTAGTTTTCTGTGTTTTCTTTTGTATATTGTGGTTTGTCTTTTGGTCGTTTTTCGTTTTTGCCATGACGTTGTCAGTTTGTTTTCGACTTTTGGGTTTAAATGTCCCTTTGTTATATTTTGCACCCTTTTAATGTTATTCAGAGGAAATTAAAATGCACGCTGTATTTAGTTTTTAACTGTACTGACTATTTTTATTCCCTGTTTACCTTTTACATAAGTAAGAATACAATACCCTCTGATTTGAACACAATTGTAATTGACATGATTAAAAGAATGCACTTCATAAATTTCCGTTGATCTGTTTAAAAATTGTAGAGAAATGTATGTGTTTTTAACAAGTCGAGCGTCGTAATTATAAGATGTGTATCTAAAATTACGTATGTCAGGTAGAATAGCTTATTAAATATCTAATTATTCAAATCCTAGATGATCACATTTTAGTTCACAAAATGGCAATTGTGATCTTGAATATTAGTTTTCTGATTACGAGAAAAGCCCTTTTTACGAATATTCTATGATAATGTGTGTTCCATTGTAAAAAGAGACGGAAAAGGATGTATAATTACTGTAAGATTCTATAGTTTAAAAAGAAAACAATTTGTCGTGTGAAAAATTCCCACTGATTCTGATGCAATAGCTTATTCATCTGCCCAAAATATCTATGTATGTTCATCTAATGATTTATTGGAGGAATTGGTAGCTTTTTATAGACAGTTGACTTTCGTTTTATCCCTCTATCCCGAAATTAATTCAATCAATTAGGTTAAAATGTATGTCTCAATCCACAATTTTGCATTATATTTTCTCAGTATATCTACAATTCCTGTTTTCTCCTATTATGTCAAATCAACTTTGAAATAACAAGAGATATCAAGTATCTTTTAGTCGATTTACAATGAGGTTGTTGAATATGCTTGAACTCACCTTATAAAATTTCCGAACGAACAAAAATATCCACTGTCCATTATTTCTTTATTGCTTTTCGACACCTGCTCATATTCTCTAGTTCCCCATGATACAACATGCATGTTTCCAATTGAATAGAAAAACATCAGCATAGACATGGATGGGATGGCCACGAAATATAATAGGCCTGGTATTAAGCAAAATAATTCCTGTTGGAACAAAGGACAAAATTAAGGAACTTAATACAAGATTATATTATTTTCATTAACTTCATTTGAATTGAGTAATAATACAACAAACGTGACGATACAATTGAACATGTTGTTATGCTTGTTATTTAACATGCATGCTCATATAATTAAGGGTTTAAAACGACTGAGAGACAAAATACATAAAGGATTATCGTTCAATCCCTATTAATGTCACATTAATTTATTATATCTGTTTGGGTTACTCAACCAATTTATTGAGGAACTATAAACAACTGCCATTCCAGAGGGAGGTTTAGGTAGGTATGAAATCAGGTGTAACACAGCATTGTCTTCGGAAAATAAATCTATCAGATCAGGAATATGACAGTTGTTTGTTGTTTGTTGGTTGATAATGTTTGATTTTGTCAGTTTTTTATGGACTTCCCCTTTTTGAATTTACTTTTGAGTTCGGTATTTTTGTTATACTTTTTAAGTAATGTATCATGCTTAAAATAATTACAATCTTGTGTAAATTAGAATACGTACTTTGGGATGAAGTAAAGCTGTGATGACAAAAATTCCAGCAACAAATAGGAGGAAAACGGTTGTTATTGAACACCATCCCTCATTTACAGCATCTCTTGTTACGCCAATTAAAACGATTATCATGACTAGGGCATATACTGACGATAAGATAGCTGCATATTGAATCTAGAATGAGATGAACCTAAAGTCATTGAATTTACTCTTTAAAAAATTCTGCATTTACAAAAAAACACGTGATTAAAACGCTATTTTGTTGTTAGTAAAAGATGTAAATTAGTCAATTTGTTATCCCTTTATAAGGGTGTTGTTTTAGAATAGACCGGAAACTCAATATGCGAGACGGTGTGTATCCAAATGAAAAAAAAACCAAAGGATATCGAAAGGCACAAATAACTATAAAAATAAAATTGTTAAATAAAAATATATTACAAATTTACGATAAGTCTTAGAAACACTGGTGATCTTCAATGAAATTAAATTAACGACGCTTTCAATATATTTCAATATATTAAAATTATTCCATAATCTTAAACCAATATATAATATTCAGCAGTTCTTCAAATTGTTAAACATTTTACAGATATCCGTAACGGAACTGCAATGCGAGATAAAGCTGAACCACCGTACGATACACACAAAATATGTGGGTTATTCAAATTAGAATGTATCAAATTATATCATAATATATATATATGTTGGTAAAAAGGGTAACTTAAAATTTCTGGGATTATTTTTCCTAGGTAAACACACAAAGAATTAATATTGGTTCCATTTTTATCAACGTGAACTATAGTGATTATTTCAAACAAATAAGAAATATTAAACAAAATATTGAGATGTCAAAAATACACATTTTAGTGCACCTTCTTGGTGTTTAGTTTCATTTTGTCGATAAAATGTAGGATTGCAATTTAAAATACAAAGAAACATATGAGTGGCCTCTTTTTACACAAAAAGAAATTAATTGTTGTATGACATTTTGAAAACAGCTTTATACTTACGAAGGCCTTTTTTGTGCCGATATATGTGTAAATATAATTTTATTTAATCATATTCGTTAATAATTTTTGTCTTTTATCAATATCTTTGCACAAATCTTGAAATCGATTTTTATACATCTTTGCTTTCAAATATTGGGCTTTTGAGCGTTCCTGATGAAGGTAAATCCAGAAAAGCGCTTCAGACGCACTAAATTTATAACATGATGTTTTCATTTTTTGAAAATATATATTTATATCTAGTGCTAAAAATACCAACAATCAACATTCAATCTATCTAGGCGTGAATCAGTTAAAAATAAACTATCAGGGTAGGGCAGCGGTAAAAAAAGAGGGGCGAAAGATACCAGAGGGACATTCAAACTCATTAATCGAAAATAAACGCTAACTGACGCTGATGATACATGTTGCACCCGTTCGCGCGTCGTGTTTAAACAATCATTTTTATTCAAGTTGCATCAAAAATATTCATTTTCCGGAAGAACCAAACCCTCCCCCCTTTTCCCAACTTCATCAAAAGAAAGATGAATGGACGGTTACTAGAGATGTACACATTTGATTATGAATACAGAGATTAGGTTTGATGTTAAACCATCCTACAGTCCTAGCAGTATCTGTATCTATGTCATGGCCCCCTGATATACCTTAATTGGAATAAACATAATATATTGTAGTGTATTGTGTAGTTTATAATTTGCTGAATTTTCTCATTACAAGATGATTTAGAGTATTCAGCAGTTTGCAATTTTGCGAGCAATACCTTCAAAGATGAAAATATCTTTTTTTTAAATTGCTAGTGGATTATTTCTAGATAGTATAAAACTTTCATTTCATGAATAAGTTTCTTTTGAATTTCTTTATCTTCTCACCGCACTACATTTTCTCTATTTATAAAGTTTTTATATTTATTTTCTTATTCCTCTAAGGCACACCCTGAGCTAACAATAGAGGAACTTGGTTGAATTTGCTTTTAAAATGTGTTTGGTTTTTTTTTTCAATATTCATTTATCAAAATAACCCTTTCTCTTAATATGCATAAATAGTGGCATTCGTTTGGACATTTTAATTTTTTACGTATCATAGTATTTAATTTAAATGGACACCACAAATAACCTTGAATTTTAACCCAATCACTATAAAAGTGTGCATTATTCAATAAATTAAAATAATCCAAACAACATTTTGCATGGGCGAGTTAACATATTCATTAATATATCAAACGGTAATTAGAGAAACGACATAGCGTTTAAATATAATTTTACTTATGTTGATGATATGTTTATTATAAGCCCAACAGTTGCTTAGTTGAGATTACTTTTATCTATGTAAGAAGAATTTGCAAATGAAAATGATATTCTATATGTCAAGAAATCTATGCGAATGATTTTTAAAACTAAGTATCTGGAGATTAACAATGTGCTTAAATTTCATTTATGTGGTATTTTTTTTAGAATTTATAGATAATCTAAATAAATCCGACAAGGTTGGTAGTATTTACGGTAAATAATGGTTGGTGAATAGGGATGTAACAACAACAATCTAGATTGCAAATTTGGTTCTGACGAAGGTATTCTTTTTTCACAAGGTTTTGCTTTTTTTAAGGTAAATAACGGTGGTAACGACCAAAAATAAAACATTAAAAATTTGGTTCTGACAAGGCATTCTTCTTTTCACAAGGTTTTGCCTTTCTCTTAAAGGTAAACAACTGTCGGTTCTGAGGAGGTAACGACCTAAAATCTGCATAGAAAATTTGGTTCTGACAAGGTATTGATGGTTTTACTGTAAATAACGGTTGGTTTTGAGGAGGTAACGACTTTAAGTTTACATAGAAAATTTGGTTCTGACAAGGTATTGCCATATTTATTGGAAATAACGGTTGGTTCTGAGGAGGTAACGACCTAAAGTAAGTCTACATCGAAAATTTGGTTCTGACAAGGTATTGTTGTTTTGACTGTAAATAATGGTTGGTTCTGAAGATGAAAAGACCTACAGTCTACATAGAAATGTTGTTCTTACAAGGTATTTCTATATTTACTGCAAATAACGGTTGGATCTTAGGAGGTAACGACCTAAAAACTATATAGAAAATTTGGTTCTGGTAAGGTATTATTGTTTTTACTGTAAATAACGGTTAGTTCTGAAGAAATAACGACCTAAAAAGTGCATAGAAATTTTGGTTCTGACAAGATATTGCCATAATTATTGTAAATAGCGGTTAGTTCTAAGGAGGTTAAGACTTAAGGTCTACATAGAAAATTGGTTCTGACAATTTATTGCTATATTTATTGTAAATAACGGTTGGTTATGAGGAGGTAACGACCTAAAGTCTAGATCAAAAATTTGGTTTTGACATGGTTTTGCTTTATCTATTGTGAATAACGGTTTTTTTCTGAGGAGGTAATCAAATTAAATCTACATAGAAAATTTGGTTCTGACAAGGTATATTAATTGTTGTTTTTACTGTTAATAACGGTTATTGCTTTTACTGTAAATATAGGATTGGTTCTGAGGAGGTAACGACCTAAACTCCACATAGAAAACTTGGTTCTGAAAAGGTACATGTATATTGAAAGATAAAAAAAATAACGTGGCGCTAATACGCGTCCGCAATTTTCCTATAGGCTCATTTTCAGTTCTCCAGCAGTATGTATGTAACAGTAAAAATAATTTTAAACTCAGTATAGCAATACATGTATATACATGTATAAATATTTTTTTTAAGTTTATGAAAAAGACTCCTTAATATAAAAAAATGAATAGGTTTAACAACTTTCTGATTTTCTGATTTTGACAATGTGAGTAAACATATACGAGGGAACTTTTATTATTTTTAGGAATAAATAATAACTTATTTAATTATTTCACCCATACGGGCCAGGAGGAAACAATACACACACAGTAACGCAGAATAAAGAATTACATGATGCCCATATATTGTGTCAATAAGAATAGTGGGGAACCTTATATAAACTACTGTTATTGTAAAATCGCTTGAATAAGAGTAAGAACACATTAAATCTCTGAAAATAAGTCAAATATTAAAGAAAATGTTTTTTTTTTAATTGGAAAAACGAAAAGAAAGAGAACTAGAATTGCCATTGCAAGCAATAGCGCATGTCACCCTGGTCCGCCAATTGCCCCTAAACGGCAGCCATTTCAAAATTTTGAACAGTGAATGCATATCTATCCTTGACACACCATTTATATTAATTTTCAGAAAGTTTGGAGCATTTTGAAACGTTTTTACATTTTGCATTTCTGTAAAGTTTCAGAAAGTTTAAAGTATTTCAATTTTTTAGGGATTGTTTCCATAGTAACCGCAGCCGTTTTAAAAATTCCAAAGACAGATGCCATGTAACATTTCAGTACAGTAACATTGGATTCGAATTAATATTCTGTGATAAAATGCTACTTTTATTTGTTTTCCCGTAGGGATCAATGTCAAATTCTCCCCCTGTTTCTTTCCATGGCAATGGCAGCCATTTTGAAAATTCCGAATACTGTTTGCACATCTACACATTCCAGACAATACTATCATACACTTTCATTAAGTTAGGTCTAAAAGTAAAAGATGAACAATGATTTATAAATTCGAAAAAAAATCACACTTTGCAATTTCCATGGCAACCGAAGCAATCTTGAACATTCAAAAGTCAGGTGCACAACTTCACATGGTGGGTCATATTATGACATAGTTCTATCATTATCAGTCCATCGATTTCGAATGGACAAATTACTGCATAAAAATTTCTAGAATGTTCCATAAAAATTTCGAATTTCGGAGTTTCCATGGAAACGGTAGCCATCTCGCACATTCCAAAGTCAGGTGCACAACTACGTGTGATTGCCCTCATTATGGTGAAGTTCCATGAACATCGGTCAATACAATTCCGAGAACTAGTCTGGACAAAATGGTTTCCACCCCAAAATAATATTCAATATGAAAAAAAAGATATTAAAACAATTTCTCGGTTTTCAGTAGTACTGTCAAGTAAACATTTAAATGGGTTTTAGTAATTCACATTTTCCGTTTTCCTCTATTTTAAGCAATAGGTGTAAAATAATACAATAAAATATTGAGCGTTCATTTCAGAATTAATATTTAACCAAAATTCGCAAAGGGTTTCCCCGTATCACGACTGCGATTGTTGCGGTCAGTGCGGAATAAGTGAAATGTTGACTGCAAAAAACACAATTTTGCTCCATATACTATTCATTGATCACGGAGAAGGTTATATGGCCTAGTTTCATAAATTTCGAAGAAGTTTCCAACGACACGATAACGTCTGCAGGTGTGTTTGAGAAAACGGAGCACATAAACGTCTGTTTTTACTTGTTGGAAATAGACTATGTTTCGGTTTCTTCCGTACAATACATTATTTGGAGCTAACCGTTCTCAAAAAAAGGAAAATTTGATACTTTAACTTCCCTTGAACGTTTTTCTTCCCTTCAAATCCGCAATCCCGTGTCAATTATAGCCAACACTCCGCATGTGGAGTTTTACACGGTGAACTTAACTATATTTACAGTTTTCTTTTCAAACAATGCATAATCAAAACCATATTTTTTTATTTTATGATATAGGTTACCAGAACAAAACCATTAATTTGAATATTTATAGTAAATTCAATAATACCTTGTCAGACCCAAATGTTGTATTTAAAAGAATATAGGACAGGACCAACCAATATTTTCTCAGGATCAAAGTTTTTGTTTCATATTTAGTCGTGACTTCCTCAGAACCAACCATTATTACATTACTTTGATAGTATGAGTTCTATTATATACATTATCACTGTCCGCGATGGATAGTAAACTAGCAATTGATTGTAAGCAAATGTTATTGTTAGTATATTTATTCACAGAAAAACCCGAAATTAATTGAAATTAACAAATAACGGATTTTGGAAAAAAGATGGAGGCACAAAAAAAAATTGTTCTGTCCCTAAGTACCTGTGTTCACTAGGTTTGCTTACCTGAAATACTATAAATATATAAAATTGACAGCATATCAAACTACAGAGTATGCTTCATACATACAAAGATATTTCGCTATATCATTTCGTCGATAATATTAGAATACACATCCGATGTATGCGGTTGCAAACGATAGTATTCATTGGAGGGGCTATAATACCAAGCGATAAGAAATTTTCTTGGTGTTGGTATGCCGGGCTCCTCCCATATCCGCCATAACATGAGAAATGGGACGGTACCCTATCTCTCACAACACACAATGTCATGTAATTGTGTTATTGTGTAGATTGACCTGAGACTATCGGAATCTCGCATGTGCCACAAAGTATTTCGCTGGACCAAGAGATTTCTAACCTAACCGATACTGTAATACCTGGTTCAATAACACTTCTTTCATCTTTTGGACTAGACTATATATCACAACCCGACAACACATTCAGTTTTTTTCTTCAATTCCCTCATGTCTAGAACAGCGTTTAAAACCTATTCGAAAGAATGTTATAATCCTGGGGACACTTCCATCCTTTTGTGGTAGGGATGAGCAGCTGAGACTTCTAGTACCCCACCCTTTTCGTATACTTTGAGTATCAAATATACACAATTTCAAGTGGAAGAATGTCCAAAGAAATGTTTCTCTAGAAATCAACCTGCAGCATTGTGAAGAATGCGACGTGGGACATTTCTGTCAGACCTTTAAAAAGGGGAATTTTAGAAACACTCCCGTGGAACAAAGAAAATCAAACATGTGTGATAGTGGCGAAGAACAGAAGATGTGCTCCACGTCACAACTGCATCCGTAACGAACTCCTTCGCAACCTTTAAGACTGACATGACTGTGACTTCTCAAACCTTTCGTTCATGAACAAATTCGAAAAACTCCTTAATAGTAATAATATCTAAATTTAAACTGTCGTAAATGTCTCTCTTCGAGTGGAAATCTGTTAATTACAAAGAATTTCAATAACGATGGTTTTTTTAAACATTCAAAATTTATACCATTATTCCTTCGCTTCAAGAAGTCAGCAAAAACAACTGCATTTGATATACATGCACTATTGAAAAATGGTCTCTTTGATGGGTAAAAAAGGCTTATCTATGTCATCAAAGAGGGTAAGAATAGAATATCCGTGTGCAAATAACCCGGCTATGATATGAATGAAAAATATTCATTTTTTAAAGGAAAATACATGAAAACTACATTAGCTAACAACCAATTAAAATCCAGGATATCTATATAAATACATGCACTATTCTCTGATTTTTTTTTAAACCTGTAAACCTATATATAACATAAGTAAAAAATGAATATAGACAAGTGACAGTGTATATAAGGTGTAATAATAAAAAAAATCTGAAGAGACGTAAGGATGACGGATTGTGTTCGTTGAAAAAGACCGCTACACTTATTGAACTTCATAATGTAATCATGTTTTGCTCCGTGTTGAAGGCCGCACTGTGACATTGATATAAAGAACAGCAATAAAAGCGCTGTTCCTTTGCTTTTTGTGTGTTTTTTTTTTATGTGTATGTACTGATTTTGTTTTTCTTTTATGTTAACAAGTATTGATAAGAACTGCATGATTTTGTAGTTTTCATAATATTTTAATATATAGATAGAACAATTTCATATATAAACGTGTATGTGATCTTGACCTTGAGCTACTTGTGTGAAGTAATTTTAAAGCCGCAGCATAAAAATCTTTTCTTAACCATATTCTAAAATATAGTGGCTACATTCAAGTTAAGTATTTTCGTGTCAGGCCACAAAGTGGTAAAATGGTTTTATGTGTTTTGTGGGTAGTGTATTCGAAAACGCGATGAAATTATAACTGTTGTGCATAAACTTGAACTTAATAGAAAAACTAATATCCCAGTCATAAACCAATTTATTAAGCAACCCACGCTTTCACTTACAAATTGCTCGAGACAGATTGATCTTTTAATCTTTTTTAATCCTTTAATTTCGAAATTAAAATTCAGCGGGTTGCAATGTCCTATAGTGTCAGTGTTCACAGACTCATTATTTAAGTCGTGTTACAAGTTACTGGGAAAAGATTTTATTTAAGAATATACTGGCCTTAGATTGCCTTAAAATCCATTTACTAAAATTGGATAGATCCACAAAGTAATCAGGACTGTTGTATTTCCTTCGTCCTTCATACATACTCAAAAAATATGTCGTCCCTTATAGTGTGACATAAATATTTCAATTTGTATATCTTATCGACTCCCTATTCCCGATTTAAGAAGACAATTTTATAAGAACAAATGCAGTGTACATGACTATTCAGACAAAAGTGTGTAGCAAGACTGAAAAAAAAAGATATCGAAACCGATAATAATTCATATCGTTATGATGATATAAACTGCCAGGCGGATATTTTGTGTTCACCGAAATATATAGCACATATAAAATCAAATTCAAATATGTCTCTTTGAACCAATAGATAATTGTATATTACAGATGTTTTTAATATATGACTGATAAAGATAATAAAATATAATATTATCTAACAGCACATTAGTACATAAAATTATATGAATGCATCTCGAACATTAAGTACTGAATTAAAACACCGAATAACATGCGATTAATGAAGCCTTTAAAGTTTTATAAATTATCGTTAAATCAATGTACTAGTATCTGCGTGGGTATTTGAAGTACATTCAGGTCACACTAATATATGTTGGTATTTGGCTATCAAGTGCTGCGCATGACTTCTGAACGGTTCTGGAGAAGTATTCCGGTGCTGCATTTGTATGGTTCTGAGCGCGTGAAGGCTGCCGTATATTGATGAAATAAACTGATACAGTAACTAAATTTAATTATAGTAATGTCTAAGAATGTTACTTTTCTCGCATCGTTAGCATGTTGAAGTTACATTCTTAGGCATTTATATATATATATATATATATGTGTAAGACGCTGCCGTAGAACGATTTGATATTTAATCATGTAGTTCGTTTCCGATCTTGAACTTAAACAATGTTTATAAAACTTTGACAAAAAATATAACATATTTTACCTGTCTTTCCTCGGACGTATACAAGCACATTAAAAGAAATATTCCAACCGGGACTATATTTAATACAAGAACTAGCCACACTGGAACATCTTCAAATCCACAATTATGGCGCCTAGTATTATCATGAAAACTGTTCCTGGTGTAAGCAATGTTGATACAAAGAGGAAGACATGATAACAAATATATAAGAAAGAGATATTTTCATTTTTGGTTGTTACATTTTTCCAGTGTACTATCAAATCCATTATGTTCGCTAAGGTTGACGGAGTCCATCGACGTCGTTGTTTATAAAATTCAACAAAACCTTCAGGTGCAAATGTGTACGCATCAGACTCTGCACAATATTCAATTTTCCATCCTTGCTTTGAAGCAAAGTACACAACCATCTATCTTCGCCTAACAAGGAAAAATATTCATTTAAAAGAACGCATATGAACGATTTCTCATTGGAATGACTTCAAGACGTGCTAACAATGCATTTTGCAATTTGCATTAGTAATCTATTTTGTAGTAATAAATAGAACGAGAAACTCTACACAAAATTTTACTTCAAAAAGGACAATTTTTCTTTCCCTGTTGTTAATTTTCTTTCTTTTTGATGGCGATTTTCCTTTGGCACCATCAACTCGCTCGCCTTCTTATTCATAAAGTCATGTTTTGGATTTCAATGAACGTAATCTATGTATAACTGGTAAATTATTAAGTCAGGGATTCGTTACTACAAATTACGTAATACCTTTACATAGATACAAAGATTTGGTTCGGAAGTTTGGCTGTACCTGTAGCAAAAGTATTTCAAACGGGATAGATAAAGGCAACAGTAGTATACCGCTGTTCAAAATTCATAAATCGATTGAGAAAAAAACAAATCCGGGTTACAAACTAAAACTGAGGGAAACATTCTAATTTTATGGAGATATTGTTTACCGAGCCCGGAAATTTAGATACGATCCTGGTAAACTGACCGATCCTTTGGATAAACTTATTCTAAAGGTTTACCAATACAACACTGTAATTATATCTTTGAATATTGTTTTTAGTGGTATAAATATTGATTTTGTTATAAGTAAATTAAACAAAAACCAATATTATAGTTATATACATATGCACATTCACAGCTCTACATTCTGTCGATACCTGTATTTTGGCATTAAACAAGGTCATGAGTTTTTCTTGACTGTTGATGACGTCTTTACACTACATCCATTGGATACTGAATGTGTATTGATTGATATTTAAGTTTTAGATGCATGATTTTTTTATAAGTTATTATTGGCTTTGAAATAGCTGTCAGTAACTGCGAGAACTCTCAGATCTGTACTTAGTGTCTTTTGTTGTTGTGGGAATGTATAAATACCCCGGTCAGTGTTTTTGTCAATTGTTTTTCTGCTTTGTATAGCCCTTTTCAATGGATTTTTATAGTTTGATCATATATTTTGATGTTACACTACTGCTTTAAATTAGGGGAGGGTTGGGCGCCCGCAAAAATGTTTAACCCGCCACATTCTGTATGTGGTTGTCGTTTGTTGCTATATATCATTTTTGTTTTTCGTTCATTGTTTTGTACAAACATGTGTGTTAATCAAACAGTTAGTTTTCCCGTTTCAGTTATTTTACATTTGTCGTGTCGGGGCCTTTTATAGCTATGTGGTATGGGTGTTGCTCATTGTTGAAGGCCGTACGGTGACCTATAGCTGTTAATTTCTATGTCATTTAGTCCCTTGTGGAGATTTTCTCATTAGCAATCATACCTCATCTTCTTATTTTTATATGTAAACTTGTAATATACCTTGATCATACTGAATGAAATGTTTCGCCTCGGAAGATTGTTTTGTATACTTTTGCAGTACGGATGGATGTAACAAAGCAGCACCACGAAACAGACTAAAACATCCAGGGCTACATAAAACACATCCAATAACATGTTCAGTTGCTTTGTGTAACCAATGACTGATAGCATATTCAAACTTCTGATACCACACCATAGGACCTTAAATATGAATAGTATACAATTCTTTGTGTACATTTCCTAATCGAATACAAAAGGTCTCTCTGGTTCTAGAAACCACAAAAAGGTGCATTTAAATGTATTCACATTTCCCATCATTTTTTACACATACATTGTATATCCAATATAACATATACTGTCTCGAAAAAAAAATCACAGACAGTTGCTTTTGTGCAACTCATTCTATCACTGACAGCGCGGACTATTTAATATATTGTGTTATATTGGGCTATATATATATGCAGAATCGATTTTAAAGTCAAACTGCCACTTTTACGCTAATGTATTTGTTGATTTTAAAGAATCTTACGCTACCACCTGACAATAAAAGCTAGAAAATTATATTTGTCAGTTCGTCTGCGACTTATGAGCTTGAATGTCCCATTAGTATCTTTCGCCATATTTTGTAACTGTTATAATATAATTGAACGTGTTTGCTGTGACTTCACTATGGCCATTCAAACATTACTAAATGAATGGTCTTTACCCCATTGATAACTTTCTAAAATGGAAAAATATTTTGCAAAATCAGACGCCAAATCAATAAACAATTAGCACGAAAAAATCTGCTTCAGCGTGACCGTGCGATAAACTATATTTGTTAACTTCTACATCATTTGGTCTCTTGTAGAGAATTGTCTCATTGGCATTAGCCAATTTGCCCTGCATTTTGTTATAGGGTCACGAATGTGCCTGTCACAAATCAGGAGCCTTTAATTTAGTGGTTGTGGTTAGTCACTAAACTGTTCGTTTATTGTTTTATTCATAAATCAGGCTGTTGGTTTTCATTAGGGAATTATTTTACATGTTGTCATGTCTAGGAATTTTGTTTTAGTTTACTATGAGGGACTGGTTTTATTCATTATGGAAGGTCGTAAGGAGACCAATGGTTGCTTTAATCTGTGTTAATTGGTCAATATTCACCAGCTGTTCATTGCAATTCTTACTTTATATCAAAATATAAAATGACACGGGGATTGAATATTAAAATCGAAATCTGGTTTTGGTTTTGACATCAATCAAATTCTGTCATAAGTACGGTCACAGGGTTTCATATATGGTCATCTGTCTAAAAACTAGCAATCATATATATTGTTAGAATATCGAGTACTAAAATGGATCTGTGATACCTTAAATTTTAGCAAAGATTGAAATGATTTTTGATAGTTGTCGATTCAGTGTGATAAATTCCGTATAAAAATAAAAAGTCCCCTTTTCTTTGAAATACATTGTTTTTAAATTCTTCGATATCACGTTACATTTCCATATACGTAGATCGAAAAAAAATATTTCTTATATTAAAGAGGATCTAGATCAAATAAATTATTATATGTCCCGGCTGTGTAAATGCTTCGTATATCCTGCAATTTACCTATATTGGATACGATAGTTTAAACACAAAGCCGAGAGGAGGAAACAAATCATGTTCATTGTACTGCAAAGTCAACAAAAAAATCAAAATTACCGTATGCATAAAATAGTACAAGGATACAATGAGTCAACTATTTGTATGCTAAACAAATATCGAAAACGTTTATTTGTTCATCGGCATCTGCACAATAAAATGACTGATTGTGACATAGAATGATTAAAGATAAAATTTATATGACAATTTTATACCACTTAACATATTTCAGCAAATATGATCACGTTTATCATGTGAAAACCAGTTTTCTGAAGTAAGGCTATTTTATCTAATAATTGTAATTTATTTTAGACTTGTCTCATTAGCAATCAAACAACATCAACATAACTATTTGGTTTTTATTTTACGAACCCGATCCACGAGGATGAATTCGTCCACATGCAGCCCCAACTTTACTTGATTTGTTCATTCTTCTCATTAAACTCAAAACAGCCTCAGGTTCGAAATCCACATCTCCATCCAATGCCAGAATATAGGAATTTTCTGCCAGCGACTGAAGTATCTTATTTGTATCCTCCTTAGATCTTTCGGTCATTTTTTCGCTTTTTCGTTTTAAATCCCATTTTAAAATTTTTAACATGTACATCACCTGTAGAAAAATAAATAACTTTACAACAAACAATGCCACTTGCAAATGTCCTTCTTTTAAATTACTGTGAGTTGACTATAGGTGTTGCCCTTTACCTATACCTATTGTGCAATCAGATTTTAAAATTAACAATACAATAAGGATATTTAAATTGACCAGTTAGTATTGTAAGATCACTCATGCATTAAGAGTCTACCTTGATGAAGTTCAATCACTTAACCTCATCAAATATTACTGTTGTAGTGTGGTCTTACTGAGATCGTTGTTTCAAAACTTACCGATTGCTAATTAATTAAATAGGCTTCTGTTCTTAGTTAATTATTATAACATGCAAACTGTTTAAATAAGTTATAGAGAAAGTCCAAATAACTGTCCATTCCTGGGAAATAATGGAGCGGAGGCCCGGAGGGCCGACCCCCATTATTTCCCAGGAATGGACAGTTATTTGGACTTTCGCTAACTTAAAATACACCTTATATATTAAGAACGAATTTTTAGATCATAAAATTTAAAAAAATTTATTTCATTTTGTAATGGTGTTCTTTTCATTTTCCCCATGGTGTACCCAATAATCCACAAGCAAAATTTAAGATCAAGCTGACTATCAACTCACTTAACAAGTATTTATGAACAGTAGAATAATTACTATAAAAAGATCTTGAATAAAGTTCATCCAGATTTGTGTTTTAAGTCATTGGATACGCACGTCTTTCTTGTGGTGGGATTGAAAGGATATTTATTTGTGTCTTTAAGTGGTATTTCGGGAGAGAGAAAAAACTAATATTTATGCATATTATTATATGTTAATGGCTTATGTGTTTTTCGTTTGATAAATCTTGGATGTAGAATCGTCTGAGAAAAATGACATGGTACAACTAGAATAAATTTCCAGGTATGTAACACTCTTGTATATGTTATTTAACTAATAAGGGTGTGCTCGATTTGAAGTCGTATCTGAAACAAAATATGATTCTATATTTCAAACCATTCTATGAGATCAAATTATTATCAGAAAGATTGCCTTTTGTATGTCTTTAAATTAAGTGGAAAACTACTTTTTGATTTCATTTAAAGATTAACGCTGTCATTTGCACTACCGATATAACTGTTATATTTGCTACTGGTCATATATCAACAGTGAAGGAATTCGATTGTGTTACGCGTTTCTGTTGAAAGTTGAATAAAAAATCCCGCCCAATATTTAACACAAGCCTTATTCAAATGTTATCCATACCCTTCAAATTCTGTTCAATAGTACCATATTCAAATTATAACAACGAAAAATCAAATAATATACCGAATACGCCATTTTGAGCATTTTAGTTTCTTGAACTATTTATTCTATTTAACCACAATATTATTGTAGAAACTATCTGAGTAATATTTCTTTTTTTAATGATCATATTAAAATTGAACAAAATCAAAATACAACACTTTAAATTTCAAGCAAATACATGTAATATCTTACACGGTAAAATTAAAAGCAAATCTGTAAGTGAAATATATTTTCTCTAATTTTCCTTATTGTATAATGATACTGTGTTCAATATTACGAAAGAATTCAACTGAGTTAACACATTTGATATTTTGTAGATGCACAGAAGAGGACCGGCACTCAATGGAAAATATTCGTTTTTACCCGCTTGGATACAATCCGTGACAGAAATTTAGCCAAGATGTGCATCGGAAAACAAATTGTGGATAATGTTGTGGAATTTTAGTGAAAACGATACCATATATTATACGATGGAATTACGACTCGCAAATAAAAGCTGTTTATCAATAATGAGATATTTGGTGTTCATTGTATTACTACGAGGTCATCCCAATTAAAAAAAAAAACTCCATTTAATATCAGCCGTTTAGTAAGTTTTCATCTTCATTCAATATCGCGTTACGTCCTTTCGAACTATTTACATGGGTGAACACTTTTTAAGAAAGTGCCAATGGAAATAGCCAAAGGGCAAAACGTCCGGATGAATGAAGATGGACAATAGAAAATAACTCTCCATTCCTGAAAAATAATGGAGAGTTTGAACAAAAGATTTACGTCACAGGTGTATTTTAACTATGATATAATCGAAGCAAGAATATGGCCACAAGATGCATACTTGTTCCGTACCCGTATCTGTTGCTTGTTCGAATATTTGCTGAAAAATGCTGTCTTTAAAAAAAGGATATCACTGAATTATATGTTTTTTGGTCAATACTACATTAATCATGTCTATCCAAAGAAATTTACCCAAAGGAACTTACTTTAAATAAATCAAATTTAAACGGTAACAACTGTCCTTTCCTAGATTGAGATATTTCGGTTTTACACGGGAAACTCCACACTAAAATTTACGGCAAAAGGGACGATTTTTCGTTCTCTAATGTTAATTTTCCCTTTTTGGATGGTGATGTTCCTTTGGCACCATCTTACGGTGTTTATATTTCACAACTCGTTCGCTATGCCCGTGTCTGTTGTGACGTTTTTGATTTTAACGAACGTAATCTATGTATTACTGGTAAATTATTAAGCCAGGGATTTCGTTACCACAAATTACTTAAAACCTTTACTAAATACTTCCACAGATATAAAGGTTTGGTTTTGAAGTTTGGTTGTACCTGTAGAAAACTTATTTCAAACGGGATTGCACATCCTCATTTTTACGGCAATATTGTTTACCGTGCCCGGAAATTTAGAAACGATCCTGGTAAACTTATCGATCCTTTAAATAAACTTATTCTAAAAGGTTACCAATTCAACACTGTAATTAGATCATTAAATATTGTTTTTATTGGTACTAATATTGATTTTGTTATCAGTAAATTAAAAGCAAACTAAATATCATTGTAATATACATATACACATTCATGGATCTACAATCTGTCGATACCTGTATCTTGGCATTGCACAAGGTCATGTTTTTCTCTGACTGTTTATGACGTCTTTACACTAAATCCATTGGATGTTGGATGTGTACGGATTGATAATTTAGTCTTAGATGCATGATTTTTTTTATTAGTTGTTAGTGGCTTTGAACTAGCTGTCAGTAACTGCGGGTACTCTCAGATCTGTACTTAGTGTCTTTTTGTTGTTTGGATGTACAAGTACCCGGCCACGTCCACTTGTATTTGTAGTATTTGTATTTGTATCCATCTGATGAGTTAAGCCTCTTTCAACTGATTTTTATAGTTCGTTCTTATGTTGTACTGTTACACCACGGTCCCAGGTTAGGGGGAGGGTTGGGATCCCGCTAACATGTTTAACCCCGCCACATTCTGTATGTATGTGCCTGTCCCAAGTCAGGAGCATGTAATTCAGTTGTTGTCGTTTGTTTATGTGTTACATATTTGTTATTCGTTCATTTTTTGTACATAAATTAGGCCGTTAGTTTTCTCGTTTGAATTGTTTTACATTGTCATTTCGGGGCCTTTTATAGCTGACTGTGCGGTATGGGCTTTGTTCATTGTTGAAGGCCGTACGGTGACCTATAGTTGTTAATTTCTGTGTCATTTGGTCTCTTGTGGAGAGTTGTCTCATTGGCAATCATACCACATCTTCTTTTTTATATCAGCAACAACAATAAAAAAGCAAAATATTTTCTTTCCTACCAATGTTATAAATTTATAACCCTCGGTGAAGAAAAACTTCAGGAAAAAAGCATCATGTTATGTAAGCTTACAGCAAAAGAGAGGCGAAAGATAGCAAAGGGTCATTCAAGCTCATCAGTCGAAAATAAAGAGTAAGTGGCAAAGAAAGGACAGGTAGCTCATACAATACCAACTGGTCAATTTGAATGTCAAAATTGTATTGCTAGTTTTATAATTTGGTTGAACAATAGGTATTGGAAAAGGACAACACTTAAAATCAATGCACAGTAATAACAAAATACATAATTATTTTTGTTTAGACAAAACCAAACTATAAAAAAGAATTAAGAATGATAGAATGAAAGGCACCGCCTTGCCAAAAATATAAGTCAAATAAAGTAAGCAAATTCTTTGATGCCTAGTTCTTCTCATAAATCACAAAATACATGATAAAAAGGTGTGTATGTTATTGAGTCCGTCTGTTTGTGAATTTATAAAGCAAAATTTAAATAAAACATAAATTGAAAGAGAAGATTCAAAGGAGAGAATTAAACATCACAGGTTAACAAAGAACAGTAAAGAAAAAACGACGAACAGACAAACAACAATAACAAACATTACACAGAAAACTACATATTGGGCAACACAAATATGATTACATTTGGCTGTGAAACCAGGGTGGTGAATGGGTAAGCAGTTCCTAGACCACTAGCCGGTGTAGTTTATACAAATAAAAATTTGTTGATAAATCGCATTCTCTAATATTACATTCGGGGAGAAGAGCTCGAATGAGCTGAGCACAAAAAAAGATATAAATTGAAATGAAAGATAAAAACAGAAATGAAACTTCAGTGATTTTCCGCTTAAGAGTGTCCGACTTAAAAGACCTAATCAGGGATTATCACTGATTTTGCTCATAAAATGTCATGTCAACTGCCAAAAACGAAAACAAAGCATTATGACTGATGAAGAAGGGTTAAGTTGTTGGCCTGTAATAATTAGCTCTGATTTATTTTTCTAGTCAATTCTCCAATTTAGCTATGAAATATTTGCCGCGAAAATTTTTTTTTACCTATATCGTATCCTGACAATTATTTCCAAAAACACTTGCCACATGCATTAAACTTCTATTTTTCTTCTTACGAACAGTAATATATGGGCTGCATATATGCGACCAGTCTTTTTTCTTACTCTTTAATGCCGCGTGCTTAGCGGAGAAGCACCAAATAGCAATTTTAAAGTCTTTCGTTTGACCCGACTGGGGTTCGATCCCACGAACTACCGCACTCGAGGCGAACACGCTACCACGAGACCACCGATTGTTAAGGACCAATACGTTCCTAAAATCTGACAAATTTTTCAGTACAAATTTTAATTTCGATAGTGATCCTTTTTTCGTATGGATAAATCTATGTTTTACATTACTGTATCGCATTTTGACCATTCTTTATTATATTGGTATAGCATAACAATTATCATAAACAGCTTTCAGCTTACTATAAGTTACTGTTTTGTTTTCTCATTTTGAATGCCATATGGTAGCCTGGTAAACTATAGCTGCTTTAATCCACTTTATGCTGTATCTGTGGGGATAGTTTTTCTAATTGACAATCCTACATCATTTTTTTTATTTGTATGTCATCAAATATACCAAGCTTATAATTGTGTACACCAGACGCGCGTTTCGTCTTCAAAAACTCATCAGTGCCGCTCGAAACAAAACAGTTAAAAAGCCAAATAAGGTATGACGCTGAAGGGCATTGAGGACCAAACATTCTTTGGAATAGAAAATCCTAAGTTTTTCGAACAATTCAAAGTTTAGCAAACAGTTATTTTGTAAATATGACCATATCAATGATAAGTCATGCCAAAAGAGAAGTGCTGACTACTGGGCTCGTGATACATTTGGAGAGGAAACATCCATCAGCAGTGGAATAGACACAGTTGTTATAAAAAGACAAACAAAAGATACCAGGCTTATAAGTAAGTACGCCAGACGCAGAGATGAAACCACTGCTATTCTTTATAAAGAGTGTAAACAAGGGTAATATTGATTTATGGTCAACACAGCAAATAAGCAACTTAACTTCATTCTTCTTCGTTTACACTCATGTATAGCCCCTGAAATCTCTGTTTGGTTTTTTTTTATTTTGTTACATAATTAGTGCTTTAGAAGTTCAAATCGTTTGCAACTACTTTGATCATTTAAATACCATTTCAAGACAAACTAATTTAGACAATCCAAATATGATTGATTGGAGAGGTCTTAAATCAACAAGGCGGCAAAAAACTAGAAATGTGTTTTCCATAGTTTTGTCTTTTGAAACAACAAATCATTAATATTTAGATTTGAGTAATTTTTACAACCTGACTCCATCGCTTCTTGTTCCTTATTTTAGTTTTGTCTTTTAGATGAAGAACTAATGTATTTTCACCAGGCAAGGACCATGATATCCGCCCTCCGTAAGGTGTCGTGTGCATCGTTCCGTCGCCTTGTCCCACATAGTGATTGCCATAGATCTTCCTATCAATAAAAATATGTTTACAAGAAGTGCTGCCCAAACATGAAATGTATAACAATTTCAAAATATGATCCCTTGAACTGACAAATCAACCAACATAAATCCTTAACATTGATTATTAATGAAAAGTATTTTCAAATCCCTGAAGTCAGCATTCCTGGCATGAAATATCTTTGATACGGTCATTTTCTGTTATTTAATTATTCATAAGATGCAATATTTTTTTTTTTTAAAAAGTGTATACTCCTAATCATAGATGACATAGGTAAATATGACATAAAATTCCAGATAAATTGATTTTTATTGCTCTTCATTTTCGTATTTGACTTGGCCTTATAATCGATTTGAGTCCAGCGTTATCGACGAATGTTTATTATTATCCGAGGCATAGATGACATTATTATATATGTTGTTAGTACTAAAAAGTAAGATTATAAAATACCGAATTCCAAGGAAAATTTAAAACGGAAAGTCCCTTATCAAATGGCGAAATCAACAGCTGAAACACATCAAACGAATGAAAAACAACTGCCATATTTCTGACTTGGTACAGGCATTTCCTTATGTAGGAAATAGTGGATTAAACCTGGTTTTATGGCTAGCCAAACCTCTCATTTGTATGATAGTCATATAGCATTCCATTATATTAACAACAAAATGTGAGCAAAATAAAATAGTACAAATTTCAGATTAAAGAGTGATATAAGTCTACCTTTCTTCCAGACGATTTTTGTTCTTAAATTTTGTACAAAGTTGCACTTTGTAAATCTTTCAAGATTACAAACAAAAAGCATAGAGTATAAAGACGTGATTTTTCATCAGGCAATTTATACTGAGGAAGGGTACTTGTTATACGAAATATTTATCGACTTTTGTTTTTCTTTACTTAACCCTCTTGCTGCCGGAGGGACACATGTGTCCACATCGGCTGTGCCGGAGGGACACATATGTCCATGTTTTAATTGATGCAAGCTTCTCATCATTGCTGTATCTTTTTCAAATAAAAGACCGAAGATTAAACAGTGTAATATTTTTCTTCAATGGCTCCCAAATGTAATGGTCATTAAAGCGTGACGTCATATATCGAATGACGTCATTGTTGGGCATGTGACGTCAGAGACGTCGAGCTGTCGTATTTTCTGGCACACGAAATGCCACCTTGAAAAACCACTGGCAGCAAGAGGGTTAATATACTTTTTTATTCAATGTTGGCAGTTATTAGCAGTGTAAATTTTATAAAAAGTATCTTTGATTTATTGTAAACAATGCTTTAAATTGTTTAACGATAACAACAATTGTTGCCTGTGTTCAGTTCTGTCAATGTTATGAATTATTATCGTTATTTTGAGTGTTTATCCTCTCATATTTTCATTGTGGGAATTTTTCATATTATGTTACTCGCTTCAGATAGAAAATTATCGCTAGAAACTAAGGACACACGTGCCAATGTCAATGTAAACATCAACGACGTCATAGGCAAAATATATATATATATATAGCGATAAACAGGAGTCTGTTTCACAAATAAACTTACGACTAAGATTGATCGTAAGTATACTGCATTGTTCATAACTAACGATCAATCTTAGTCGTAAGTTTTTTTGTGAAACCGACTCCAGATTATCAATTGTTTTTCAAACTCAGGGATGCTTCTTGGTCACATCTCATCTAAGGGCTGTCGCCTTTCGATGAGATAGTAGCGGAGAAAAAACCTCTCGTTTGTAAAACTATCGACAATTTTTATGTAATGGCTGCAAAACATGCATTCATAGCAATTATATTTCCACAAGACCAGATTATTCACAATTATTTTCTGACTCAGTTGAAGTATCTGTTAAATTGAATTGACTAAGTATACGCAGAGGGAGTAGGAGTTTATGTTAGATTATGATTTGGTTGCTGTTGGATGGTTTTGGATTTAAATAAACGACTTACTTTCCAACTTTATAAAACACATTGATGAAGGTTTTCACATATCTGTTGATATCTGGGAATTTCTGTCCAGATAGAATAGGATCAAAAGCATCGTCAAAAATCAAGTGAGCTGAAACAAGCAAAAACCTAAATACATTAAAACATTAAATAAATTACACAGGTACAATAATTCTTAGAAGCAAAAATTATGATTATAGCAAAACACTCGTTATACCATACGTTTTTCATTCTGCTTTGTTTTGGACAAGGTACTTATAGGTCAAATGTTATTCAAATTCATATAAATAATTCATTGATTTAGTTTGTAAAACACGTTTAGTCAAGGAATGTTTGCCAAATTGCTTACTTTAAAATATATGAATATTATATGACCTTACATGACATTAAAACGAGACGACAACCATCTATAAAATAATATATATTTCTTTCAATCTTCATAAAGGATTTATTCATCCTTGTATAAAAATCAGAATTTGTAAAGTCTACATTCACGGAAATAAATCACGATTTAATTCACCGTTGATTCCGAATGCATGCAGGAAATCAAAAGTTCTAACGTTTCCGTATTTAGTATTAGGGTTTTTGTAAAAAAAAAACCTAAAAATTATCAGACATCATGATTTCATTCTTTGCATTCTTGTATATAGCGCTTTCAGTGAAATCTTCGTTTGTATTATAAGGAATTATAAGTTACTGAGGCGTGAACATTTTAAATTTATAAATAGCAGACTATAGTACGAAAGTAAGTAAGTATGTATAGTTTATTATATGACATTCAGACCACCAACATCAACGCGTTGCATTTCATTTGAGCGCATTACAATTACTTTTGCGCATAAAAATCATCACATCTGCGCATAGCTTTTTGTAGCATTTGGGTTAATTCATTAATAGGTAACTCAGGTAAAAAACAAATAGATATACTAATATCTTAATATGACTAAATAGGTCCCCAGATCACCAACGAAGAGTCGGAACTTATGTTTCAAGCGGATAATATAAGAATAAAAATATGTTGTAAGACTGCCAATGAGACAACTTTCCATCAGAGACCAAATGACGTAGAAGGTTAGCAACTATAGTCACCATATGGGCTTCAACAAAGAGTAAAAAACACATTACGCATAGCAAGCTATAAAAGGCCACGAAATGACAAATTTCAAACATTGCAAACAAGAAAACTAATGGCCTGATTTATGTACAAAACATTTGCGAAAAACAAATATGATAAACAGCAACAAACGAAAACCACTGCATTACAAGCTCCTGACTTTGGATAGCCACATGCATAATGTGGCGTTGTTAAACATGTTTGCAGGCGCCCCAGTCCTCTCTCGTATATGGTATTGTGGTGTAAAAGCACAACACAAGAACAACTATAAAAATCAGTTGAGAAGTCATAATAAATAAGTCATTTTAATTATGCAATATAAAATATTTTCAACACAATTCATTCAATGTTTAAAATTTTAAAAATCGACATATTTGTTATAAAGTATCTATAGATGTACTCAAGTAAACTTGTATATGAAATTGAACCAACATAACAAAATATTGTGCGCAATCGTAAAAGATGTTAAGCCCCAAATTTCGTAAATGTAAAGCGCCCAATCGACGAAAAGGTAAGTCGTTCATAATTGATGCTGTAAATGTCAACATTTGTATATTTGGAAAAACGTACGCTATTTGAATTTTCAGTCTTTCCTGTGTGAAAAATAAGACCAGACGGACAATGCGTATACCAGGTATAACTTTTGCACAATCTTGTTTTCCAGTAACATATATTCTTTAGATTTTATTAAAGATAGAAATATAACATGTCTATCAGGGGTAAATAATGGTTAAATTGCACACCTTCAAGATCAAATGTTTCGATTTCTTCTTTTTCTTTTTGTTCTTCTTGGTTTTTTTTATCACTCTTCAATGATTCTTTCAATCTCTCGTTTAGAAACTGTTTCTTATCGAGCCTGTATAAATAAAACCCAGACTATTTACCATGTTTAAAATACAATGAATTTTAATTAATATAAGTAATGTTCAGAACCACATTTTGTTTTATTTATTAAACATCATTCTCATTACCTTTCAAAAGAGTATGTATCGATTAAAATTTTCAGTGCGAGTGGCTTTATTTTCTCGTATCGTAATGATATACTTATAGAATTTATAAATACTGATATTGAATAAACGGAGGAGACACATGCTGAAATCGAAAAAAAGCCAGTTCAAAATATTAATCTTTTGCATGGTAGATTGTTATAATGGAACAGTCCAATCAATTCAGTGCACATATGTCCGTTTAGATTTCATTGTGACTAACGTAGTATTTTTGAAAACAAAATAAAATAGGCGAAGAGAATAGCAATTTAAAAAAAAAATATTTTGCAAAATAAAAAAAATACTTAAGGAGTGAAAGTCTAAACCAAAATGATGTTTTTTGGCATCGACATCTATGTTAAAGTCATTTTGTGGCACACATTTTAATTATTAAGTAATGCTGTTGTTCATACACACATGTATATATACTACAAATGTCATAGAGAAACCAACAACGTCAAGGCAAAAAAAAAAAATGAAAAACGACGAAAAGACAAATAAAAGCCTTCAAAACACTAAATAGTAAATAAAGACTGAGCAAAATGAAATTTAGTAATATAGACTTCTGTTATGTTGCTAAGAAGTCTTTGATAAGGAAATTGGATTTTAGGAACGAACTTTCGAATATGCAGGTTGAAAAAGACACGGCCTGACCGGCCAGAAAGGGCGTCTAATCATATGTCATTTGTAGCATGGTGAGTCGCTTTCGGTACGTTTGAGACATATTGCAACAGCTCTTTAAAAGGCCCGTATGTAGCTATTGCGGAGCAAAATTTCTGCTTCTCTCCAATTTGGCAGTGGTAATCTAAATTACCATCCTCCTTCAGGGTTTACCAACTTGGTAAAAACTACCCATTTGATAACATGTTTATGAATCTTTGTCCTAAATAAGCATGAAGTATTTGACACTTGCCAACTTCAACTGTTTCGGTTCTTATACATCCTCGGCTTTCAAATATTCGGATAATTTTTTAATAAATTTATAACAAACTTTTAAAAAATGTCCGTTTATAAATTTTGAAATTGTAAAGAAACAAAGGTTTCAACTCCCTAAGGCTAGGTTGACCTTAAATGAATTTGGCTATTTTTGTAGATACTGTTTGGTCATATGGCTCCTCAACTGTTTCGGTTCTTATAAATCCACGGCTTACAAATATTCGGCTTTGAGAGTTTCTGATAAAGGTTAATCTAGGAAAGCGCTTCGGACGCATGAAATCAATAACGTGTTGTTTTTATTTTTTGCAACGAAGGGAGTCAAAATTAACGAATCAGTCATTCAAAAAGTAGTAGTTTATGGAATTTTTCTACAGTTTGTTTTTAAAGTAAAATACATCATTACAACACCAGATTTATCCAACCATATAAAGCTAAAACTGTGTAATAAGTTTATTCTTTAAAATTGTTTGATAACTTTAATGTGGCCAAACATTAAGTATCATCATATATGTTGTTATTTTATAGTTAATTGTGTTACTAATTAAGTTTTAATTTATGATCATAACATATACTTAAATATCGACTGCAAAAGCTGATCCATTTCTTTTTCTGTTTCATGCCACATTGTAGCACAGCATGCATATAAAATCTTACGGTGCTGATAATCATTAACATTGTCGCTTTTCTGAAAAAGAAATGTTAAATATTTTCAAAAGCGATTACATTTTACAAGCAAAAAAATATTACATCATTATAAACACTTCATGTATTTTTTACTGTAAATTTATATTTAAAATTATAATTTTAGGTATGATTGGTTTGGTTATGGTGCATAATTCTTTCTATCTATTTGACATTTTTTTTTTCACGTGTAGCTTTCGTCTATATTTCTTACTGTATGTTAGCTTCGTGAATTCTTCAATACATTTTAATTCTATCCTGTGTACCAACTCGTTCGTATTTTTGGGTCTCCATATGACAATGATGTTTAACCTTATAGTGAAACGTCACAATGAATAAATGCAGAAGAGTGTCAAGGTGAATTACAAACAAAAAAAACCAATCCTGATACCATATGTCTCATTATGACTACAAATGGTGCAGAGTCAAATTTAATCAGATATAGAGTCATATAAAACTTCAAATTAAAGAAAAAAGTTGAATATGATTGATATACTTGAATGGCTTAGTTGAAATTTTTTTATGGAACAAGTGTACGTAAACTTCCTTGTAAAAGAAAATCCTTTATGCAATCAAAATCTTCATAAGTGTACTGCTATTGAATTATTGTCATCCCGTACACTAATTTATCGATATTTTCCCGTATGCAGTGAACTTAACTACGAGATCTCTCGATAGAACCTCGGCCAGCGCACAGCGCAAGTGTGAGGGGAAAACCGTGATGACAGAATGTAAAACAACGTGCACTGGAAGGTAAATAGTAATAACTGATTCTTAAAGAATAAATTTAATACATTTAACAACTGTTAAGGAAAAGTCTTATTAACAAATGGGAACTCATGGAAAATAAAAAAAAAGAAATTTCAAGGCTTTATCAATTTATTTATTTGTCATGTGCTCCACGTGCCCGAACAAATACCGACCTCGAAGGTATATTCAAAAATGGGGAAGTCCATGAAACCTGACAAAATCAAATGTAAAAGTATATCCCACAATGGAACGAATGGAAAACAACGGTAATTTTCCCACTTGGTTCACACGTTTTCCGAAGAAAATGGTGGATTAAACCTGATTTTATATAGCTAAATAAACCTCCTTTGTGCATGACAGTTGTTTATAGATCAATTATATTGATTAGATTAATTAAACAACCCAAACAGACATACTTGGTTAATATGATATTAATTGGGATGCAGCATCCAAAAACTGTGTAAACATAGATTACAGACATAAGAAACAACTGACTAAAATATTCAAACAAACATAGAAATTAATCTGACAAAGACACCAGCAAAAATGTTATTGCAGTTGATAGTAAAACTGACAAAGACGCCATAAAAAAATTGGTGTAGTTGAGAGTACATAAAGTATATTAGAGGTTTCCAATAAAATGACATTACTCGACATAACCGACCTATCTGAACGTATCCCGGCCTATTGCATCGAAGCCTGGCGGACTGGAGCATAGCCTGCATGATAATGTTGCTCGTTAAATACTCATATATTGTTGAAATAGTTATGAGGTTAAACAATTACGCCGGAATGTAAAAGGTGTACACGACTAACTTCTCTATTTGCATAGTTCTATTATTTATTGCAAGATTCTTTTGTCAGAGGAAATTTATTCAGATCACTGATGTATCTATCTGATAGAACTTTCGTCATCTTTCTGTATAATTTTATAAAATGGAATTTATTAAGATGCATCTTCAAGAAAAAATTATAACATTTAGTTATATTTTTAACTTCTTGTGTTCTATTATAAAGATGCATGTCTTCTAGAATGAATCTGTATGTGTGATTTAACTTCATTGCTTACAAATTGTTTTTATGAAATATTTGTCGTTTAATATGTTCAAACACGTAAAAAAAAACGGACATGTATGGTAAATTTGATTGCAGTTTTGAAAAGTAAGATCCTTTTATTTAATGACCAATGTATGATAGCAAGGGGATATTATATATCTTGGTATGTGTGTTCGTCCGTTTATCCGTCTCATTCCCAAATTAAAACTTTTGAAATTTATACCAAATTAGGATTTTACCCTGAGTAAGTGTTTTGTCTGAACATGGATATGTGATGTTGTGAAGGGGCACGGTGTACATGTCTTATGGCCACATATTCTTGTTTCAAGTGTTTTGAAAATACTTGAACATGCATGTGTTTCTTCAATATTTATAGCCACCGCTGTGGTCGTAAGCTTGCGGTAGCCTGCTCAACCCGGTTGTCTTGTGGTTGCCTGCTCCCCTCTGATGCGGGAGGTCTTGGGTTCGATCCTCGGATGGTTTAGCTGCCTCTCTGCTTAGCACACGATATCTAGGAGTAAAGCAAAGACTAGTCGTTCCGGAGTCTGCATTATGTGTCCGGGTAGGGTGACATGTTTTCATGAAGGCGGTTACTTTTTGAACTAGCACGTTAAAAGATTTGGATTAGCGTGTCGGTCTAGTGCAAAGTCGTGTTCATATTTATCTTTTCGACCTGAATATGCATTCTCAAAATACAGATGTAATGATCACGTATGGTTCAAAAATCTATCCTGTTGATACTTTTTTAAGCGTTACGCAAAGAATAAAAACATCGAAAGGCAAATATTAACGTTTTGACGGCATTGCGCATCAAAATCTTATTATCTTATTTTTTTGTATGTTTTTGACACATGCACTTCAATGATTTATGCAGTTAAACAAAAATTGGTGACCCTCTATTAATTGTTTATCAATAAAATGGATAAAATACTATCAGTTACGGTACATCTAGGGATATAACATATTTTGCCTGGAAATGTTTTTTGTATTTGGACTCATATAGCATTTTAAACTGTCATTTTCGTTAAACAAGACAACATAGAACAGTCCTTAATAAAACACAACGTCTAAAATACAACATAAATAGGAAATGTTTTATCTATAAATTCTATGATAGATGGAAAATACGTTGACTTACAAATCAAATATAAGCGATAGTTTTAATCTCATTTTTTTTAAAACTTTTATCAAGAGACAAATTTTGACAAACACTGATTTTGACGTTTCTGAACTTGTCAGTAAAATACCCTTCTAAAAAACATCTTTCCCCACAAAAATATGAGTACATAGATACAAAAAAAAGAAAGAACATCGAATAACGAAGAAATAAGATTTAAAATATACAATAATGGAGCGTTCATCTGCAAAGTATATTGCAAAATAAGTGTCGTAATCAAAACCATGAAAGATAAATCAAATCGATCTTGTAAAAGGTAAAGGATACGTGTCTATACTTGATATAATGTCAGTGAAAATTAAGGCGGGAATCTGGAGAGCCACGTGATAAATAAAAAAAAAACTGATTTCATTACGTAAAAATTATTTGATATGGACGAAAATTCTAGTATATGGTTTTAATAGTCTTGGAATATTTAGTTTTAACTAGAGCGACGTATTTATCCAAATTCAATGGTTGGCAAAAATCAATCCCATTATGTCCGTACGTCCAGTTACGTACGTATGTCATTTTATTCGAAATCTCTGTCAAAACATAATTCCGGACTAGTATACACTTTCCTAATAAAGTACAAATTAAGTAAAATCTAAATACAAGGGAAAACAAAATGAAAACAACACTGTAAAAACTTCTTGCGTCCACAATGCCGTATGAATCCATTTGGATGTATTTTTGACATCCCTATTTTCCACAGACATTATGATGGTCGTTCCTTTATTTATCAATACATTTGTCCATAGAAATCCTATTTTCGCATCGATTAATATGTGTTGCCAAATCGCGGAAACAAGACGGTAGTTCATTATTAGATAAAACATATCTAGAGTACAACAAGCAAACAGAGCACTTTTAATTTCTTGCCAGAGAAATGGATTCCAGGATACTTAAGTCGAATCCAATTTACAATTACACAAAGTAATGTTTAAAACTATTTCTAGTAATTTCTGTATCAGAAAATGCACCATTTTCTGCATAAAACATGTTAAATTAGATTATACCCATCCTCCCTTTCCTGTCGTTTTACATTTTAATAGAAATAACTTTTTTTTTCAAATTATGTCCTTTGCGCGATTTATTAATTCCATATTTTGAGACAATCTAATTTAAGGATAACATTTTAGCTTAATGCTTTTATAATTCTAATGACCAAAAGGCATATGGTATTTTGCACTTTTCTTCATGGTCAGCAATTGCCATTTATATGCATATCTTTTTATTATCAAATCTAAAATGTACAACATTAACTAAATTTTGCTTAACTCACATAATGCAGCAACCAAGTGTATGCTTGGAATCTTTTCTACCAATTATACAAATTTTCTGCAACAATGAATTTGAGTATTTGCTGTTTTATTCTCAAATACAAAAGAGCATAGTACCAGGACACAGGTGCACAGCATACGGACACATTTATCTTGGCCAGGACATTATCAGGACAATTTCTTATGCGACTTTGCAATAGAATATATTTTGATATACCTGTCGAGGTACGTAAAATGTAATAGTGGAACATTAATGAACAAAATGGTCGTATTTCTTGTCATGACAAACCGTCTCAGCACAGAATCAGGACTAACCAGCACCATGCAGAACCTAACCATAAGCACAAAACATTATCACACAGTACCAACTTACTCCCCATTACCTTTATTACTTGGTCGATACCTCTGGTCGTGGACTATTAGTCCCCTAGGGTATCACCATCCCAGTAGCCAGAACTTCAGTACTGGCATGAAAATACGGATATTGTGTTAATGAATTTTCCTGTTACAAAATGTTGAAAAATATTTTTAAATCAAGGAATATATCTCCCTCATATAAAGCTCTTATTCCTTGTCCGGCTTTGGTTATACTTTTTGTCGATTTTGGTTTATAAGCTCTTAATTCTTTTACAAGTTCTAGATTATAAAACATTTTGACCACGAGCTTACCGAAATGTGCATCTGCTGCGGAAAAAAATAGTACTGTTAATGTTGTTACTATCACTGGGTTGATACCTCTCCTGGTAGACTGTTAGTTCCCGAGGTTATCACCAGCATAGTATCTAGTACGTCAGGACTGGCACGGATATAACTTTATTAAAATTTGCTGTTACAAAATTTTGGAAATTGATTTTTAATTTGATTAAGAAATATATATTTCTCATGCAAAGCTCTGATTCCTTGTCCAGCCTCAGGTATATTTTTTTGTCTTTTTTGGTTTATAAGCGCTTTATTTTGTAATAAGTTTTAGATTTTTCAAATATGATGGCCTCGGGCATACTAAAGAGACATTTATTGTCGAAATGCTGCAGAAAAGTTGGTACCGTTAATGTAATTAGAAATTTAAGCAATTTTGAAAACGAACTGCTCTGGATTTGATCGTTAGATGATTTTTGTTTTGTCTGTGGTTATATTATTTTTACGCTATATTCTCACTTAAGTGAAACTCTGAAAATACGAGTTCTTTTTGTAATTATTTAAAAAAAAAAAAAAAAAAATGCCCTTTTTTTCAATCTTTCCTCTTTTTAATTTTTTCCAAGATTTCGAGTATTGAATTAAATCCCGATTTTTGACTCGCCAATAGTTCATTTGACTAAATCATGCACTAAGACTGCATTGCCTTTTATGATACATTTGTATGCAACGCCACAGCTGTGGTACTCTGATATTACGTTATGTTGTTTTATTATTACTAGATGATATTTTGTCTTTACATAATATGGTTTTGTCATTACGTAATGATGTTTTGATATAACTCAATATGGAATAGTCATTACTTAATGATATTTCGATATTACGTGATATGGTTTCGTATTGACTTGATATAGTTTTTTCATTACTTAATATGGTTTTGTCATAACTGGATGTTATTTCATCATTATTTAATGTGGTTGTATTATTATGCAATGTGATTTTAACATAACTTGATGTGTATGTGGCTTAACGTTATGTATTTGTTTCATTACATGATGTGGTTTTTTTATTTCGTAATGATGATTTGCCAATTCTTCAAATTAAAGTTCGAGTTGTTGTTCAGAGTTACTGGGTATGAAAAAGGGGAACGGCAGACAAAAAAAGAAAACAAAGTACAAAAAAAATATCAATATTTCGGACATATGGGGGATATCCCCAAACAACTTGTTCCTGCCGTTTTTTTCCTTTGTTCTCAAATGGAAGCAGTATTATAATAAACTCGTGAGGAATTCCACGGAACCCTGTGTCTCGCCTGATATTGCTGCTGTCATAGTAAAAGTGTAATGTTGACTGTAAAACGTCCATTTATCGGTAAAAAACTAAATTAAAAAAATTGTTTTCTGTACATGCTTTATCTCGATAACTCCTATACAAGTTTTATAAAAATTCATGGAGGTTTACAAATTTATTCTGACAAAATAGTTTAATTTGGTAATATTTAATGCAAATAAAACTTACATAAAAATAAGAAGATGTGGTATGATTGCCAATAAGACAACTCTCCACCACATACCAAATGACGTAGCAGCTAACAACTATATGTCACTGTATGGTCTTTAACAATGAGCAAAACCCATAACGTATAGTACGCTATAACAGGTCCAGAAATGACAAATGCAAAAACATTTCAAACGAGTAACCTAACGATCTAAATTATGAAGACGCCGACGACGGAATATAGGTTTGTTGTGTCTCACTTCCGCGACATTAATATCGCAGGCTGGACACACATCAAATGACTTGTACTTTATTGTCAACAAACGAGACACTTTAAATCAACTCACACTAAAGTTACAGGGAAATGGGGGGATCGGACTAAGCGACAAAGCATCAATTCTATAAAAAAAGAATTCTCCGATTTTTTCTAAGCGTGTATTATCATTTGAACATATACGAATATCAATCTTTAAATACAAATTTTAATAAATTCAATTCTCTGATATACCTCGCACTAAATTGAAAAAAAAACTAAACTTTTTGGAATATCTGTTTCACAGGTGACGACGGATATGTTCCAGTTGTTGTAACCACAATCCCGTCCTCTTTTCCTCGAATGTGACCTACCGAATTAGACCAAATCACTGGGTTTGTACGTTCACGAATAACACGACGGGTGCCACACGTTGAGCAGGATCTGCTTACTGTTCCGGAGCACCCGAGATCACCCAAGGATTTTGATGGAATTATATTGCCCAGTCATACCGATCTATAGAGATAAGCCAATTGCATCTGAATTTTACAGTTTATTCTTGTGTTGTGCTGTTACACTATTCACCCATGGTAGGGTTAGGGTTTAGCGCTCACAGATATGTTTAACTCCGTCACATGCACATTCCTTATGTGCCTGTCCCAAATCAGGAGCCTGTAGTTCAATGGTTGTCGTTGTTTCATGTGTGTCATATTTGTTTTTCGTAAGTTGTTTAGTTATTAGTTACGGGTGCCTATAATTGCTTACATCCACTGCATTTAAACTCTGGTGAATAGTTGTCTCATTGGCAATCACACCACATCTAACTATATTTCGATTTCTATGTGGTGTTTTGTATACTGTAACATTGTTTATCTTTCGTACGCATACCCCTTAACCCTTTTTTCGGATGCCCGAGCAAAAGCACCTTGATCCGCGATAGAAAATTTAAATACGAACTCCTGTTAGATAACTCCAATTTCAACTCGAAATCTTATCTAAATGACACTCAAGTCTTACTCGAACTCTACCTCAAAAGGTAACTCAAACTCAAAGTTCAACTCGAAACTCAATGCTAATTCGAACTTTAATTCTAATTATGACTTGAATGTCGAACTCAAAATCAAAAATTACTCGAAGTTTAAATCGCAGACTAACTCGAAGTTTAATTCGAACAGTAACCCGAACTTTAATTTGAACTCTAACTCGATGGATTGCCACACTCATCCGAGGCAAATAAAACATTGAAATCGGTTTTAAAAATGAACTAGTTTTTCCCAAATAGTTACGTGGTTTTACCTCATCAAGTAATGTGATAACCACATCAAAGGAATGACAGGACCACATCAAATACTTGAACGAACACATCATGTAGTGTAAAATCGTCAAATTTTGAAACATCATTATGTAATTTTAAAGCCATTTTAAGAATTGGCAAATCATCATTACGAAATAATAAAACCACATCATGTAATGAAACAACTACATTACGTTAAGCCACATACACATCAAGTAATGTTAAAACCACATTGCTTAATAACACAACCACATTAAATAATGATGAAATCACATCGAGTAATGACAAAACCATATTAAGTAATGACAAAACTATATCAAGTCAATACAAAACCATATCATGTAATATCGAAATATCATGATTATTCCATATTGAGTAATATCAGAACATCATTACGTAATGTCAAAACCATATTATGTAAAGAAAATATATCATCAAGTAATAATAAAACAACATAACGTAATATCAGAGTACCACATAAGACAGCTGTGGCGTTCCATACATTTGTACATGTTATTGCGTTATGAAATTATTTAAAATCAAGTACCTAAACGTGACAGAAGGGATATTTTTATTGTCATCACTTAGCACATTGGACTGAATTACTGACATATTGCATTAATCAGACAACCTTAAAATTAAAAGATTACAACCTCCAGGACTATGTCATATTCTTCATCATCTCTTCGGCGGTTGAGTAATAATGATGTATCAAGAAAAACTCCACAGTAAAAATGTGACACAAATACCCTGCAAATAAAACATATATATTATTACAATCTCTTCTATATGACGGTTTGTATTCACGTTTTATACGTGTTGTTGCTCAACCTCGACTACAAACCGAACTGAAGGCATAACATTTGTCAGAATTATAGAACTCTTGATCTCTACATTTTTTACTCGTGTTCGACTATCTTAAGTATATAATACCTGTATTTGGCTTAATAGGGAACAAAATAAAAATCTTTATAATAATTAGAACTCGGAACCACTCTTAGATTGTCAATACATTTTTTGTGCTTGGCTTAGTCAAACATCCTTTAAGTTTGCTTACACTCTGTCATTATATGAATAAATATATGTAAGGACGTTTCGTTAAAAATCAATATCCAACTTAAATAGATTTAAAATTACCGAAAAGTTTTCAAATTGGTTTGGCATCTGTCTTTTTATAATATCGATAAATTTCCGGTACGTAATAATTTGTCAAATATTAACAAAATTATTATCAAAGTCTATAATTTCACATATACTAGAGGTTTATTTTGAAATAATTTTATGTTTTGTATCTTTACCTGGCTGTTTCACTCATTCTATAACCATTTACTTTCCACACATGTCTTGTTATTATCAACATAGATCCATATAAAACAAAGAAAGCAATGAAAAGCTCCTTACACGCTCCTACTAGTGTATTCTCACCTGTAACACACCAGTCCGAGAATAAAATGTCACATGATTCAAATTGTAGAAGATCTGGTTTGTGCAACAAACCAATCAAACTGCCAGTGGATAACAATGGCAATGCTAATAAAGGAATACAGAACCCAAACCGTTGACAAAAGATTACGCACGATGTTTTCGTTGCTTTGTAGTAAACATATGAACAAACTATGTTTACTATAGTTAAGACGAATGGTACATACGAATTGCAAGGACCACTGTCGTTTATCTCTTTTTCTCCAAATATTGTATTAAACATAGCGTTACCGTTGTTAAAAAGTGCTTGAAAAGTATCATTTGAATTACCAGATCTACTTGCAAATATTGCTATTACTGCAACAAAAGTAAAAACGATTTTCCAAAGATTTACCAAGCAAGTTATCTTCGTTCTCGATTGGTGGTACCTTAGTTTAAGTTCACTTGGAGAAACAACTCTAAAATAAAATTTCTTAGAAACAGAGGATTCCTTGACCTTTCTTTGTTCGGAAGACCCTTTTAATTCTCTATCCTTCGCGTGATTAGAATCAGAGGCACTGGTATTTACTCTCGATTCATGTCCATTTACTTTTGTTTCACTTGTGACACCATCTCCTCCAGCTCCAATATTACTGGGTTCATTAGAAAATGAGGATTCATTGATATTGTTTTGTTCGGAAGAAACTGGATTCTCTACGTCTGTCGATCGCGTCGCTTTAGGAGAATCAGAGCCATTGGTAGACAGATGTTCTGCAGAAGTTGAAGAATTGTCGTGTTTGTTTGAAGTATCTCCGCAATCATTTGTTATGAAATTTTCCCAGTATTTAATGGAAACGCACACGGCTCCCAGTACAAACAGACAATACAGCCAATCGATTTCGATGTAAAATGCTATTAGAATTATTCCAGCCAATTGACAAATAACTCCTATAATAGATAAAATGTACGGTTGCCATAAAGTTTTGGTGTGCTTTTGTTTTGTTCTTTGATTCTGTAAAACAGCATGATCGATTAAGTTGATTAGTGGTGGTAGAAATGCAACTGCCAGAAACAATACTGAAGCAGATACTGGATCAAACGATGGTAATACAAGAAACACAAGAATTGAAATTCCAAATGAGTGAACTGTTTCAATGAACATAATCTGAAGAAAAAAAAAACAACTTTTAAATATGTCATCCTTCCTGTCGTATATACACACTATTTAAATAAGTTGAAATAAATCTAAATATCTGAAATGATTACAAAATAGCAGTATGCATTAAGTTGTCAAAGAATTACAATAATCTAAAATAAAAATAAAAATAAAGTACAAATATTTATTTATACAAGTGCTGAACGTGTTCAATGTGAAATGCATGATCATATTCGATTACCTCTACCATTACTTTTAATAGATGTTAAATGTCTACCTCAAACACACACAACCACCCACTTCATACATAAACACACACCGACACACGCGCGATAGCTTCATGAAATTGAAATGATGGTTTAACAGTTTAATAGTTTTCTTACCGAAATCAGTACTGCAATGTCTATCTTTTTATTAGATTTAAAGCATATTCGGAAAAAGGTTTCCAAAAATGTGATAAAATATGGTGCAATCATCACTAAGAACACAGCCCAAATCCAGTTTCCGTCCGTTGCTTCAGAATGAGAATGTTTATTGTATTTTGTGCAATTGTTTTCATTATAACATGAAGAACAATTTGGTTCCAGCATACCACACAAAACATTAATTTGTGACCTGTTTGATTGAACTGGTGGATTCATGTGCCATATCAAGATATGTAGCGTTATTCTTGAAACAAATCCAGAGCTTAGAGCAATTAAAAACATTATAGATGCAAAGCAAATTTTTAAGAATTTCTCTGCTGAGCATTTAAACGCTATATTTGATGTCTCCTGATTGACAATTGTAGCCGCATCATGTTTAATGCTGTTGGAATAATATTTCGATTGCCCCTGAGTGTTGCTTTGTTCCGATGTTCTTTGCGCTAACCTATGTGTTTCATCTTGACTCTCAATAGTATTCATAGACTTGGATTTACGAGAAGGTGATATCTGATTTGTTCGTCGAGATCTGAAATTACGAAAAGCAACTTTAATTCTACCCTTACAAAAACAACATTTTACTATAAAATGCTGGTACAGGCATGTTAGAAGTTCAATAGACTAAATGTGAAATTAGAGTAGTATGTAAATCTCAAGGAATTGTCTTATATATTTTACGACCTGTCAAAATTGTAAACAAGGCGTCCTTGAGAGTAGTATAAACCGTACAAAAAGTCATGTATATCTTGAAACATAACTCCAAAAAAATTTGTCGTGTTAAGGTAGTTGGAACAGCTATAAAAGAGAAAATTGAAATATATGTAAAAGAATGTTCTTTAAGAGAACAATCACAAAGTGAACAAAAGACGCTATGAAGAGTAAGGCTTCAACGATAAAGAATGTGTTAATAGAAAAGGGTGATTTATGAATATGAAAAAAAGAACCAAAAGATATCTCGAGATCACATGCTGTCTTCAACATAATAAAGTGTTTACAATATGCCGCGAGTTTAAAAACGTTATGAATGGTGAAACCAACGATCAGCATTTAACAACAAATTCTCAATGACACATATTTAGTCTGGGAGAACATGATTTATCTTTTAGTTGTAATTGGCTTTGAACAAGCTTTCAGTAACTGCGATTATTCTTATTAAGGTGCTTTGTGTCTGTTGATTTTATGTTAGAGAGAGAGGTGAAAGATACCAAAGGGACATTCAAACTCATAAGTCGAAAATAAACTGAAAACGCAATGACTAAAAAAGAAAAAGATAAACAGACAAACAACACTACACAAAACGCAACACAGAAAACTAAAGTCTGAGCAACACAAAAACACCAAAAACTGGTGGTGATCTCAGGTGCTACGGAAGGGTAAGCAGATCCTACTCCATATGTGGCACCCATTGTGTTGCTCATGTAGGTACAAACCCGTTGAAAAGTCTAATTCCGTAGGTCACATTCGAGAAAAAGGGGCACGGGACTGTAGTTACGACAATTGGAACATATCCATCGTCATCTGTGAAACAGATATTCCATTACGGTCAACCAACTTGTGATGGCGTCCGAAAAATTTACGAATGGATGATTTCAACTTCATCACTTGGAACTCTTGGATTAATAGCTTTCTTGTGAGAAGCAACCCTTTATCAAGGAAATCATGATAGGAAATACAAGCCCTGGAATATCGTATCAACTGGGAGATATATACTCCGTATACATGCAGGCTCTGCTGGAATATTGCTACATAGAAATGAAAGGTCACAAATGTAGTTGTTTTCATGCCTTAGTATTTCAAAAATGTAAAGTTTTGTAAACCGTTAATTTATAAATATGACCATATCAATGATAATTCATGTCAACACAGAAGTGCTGACTAACTTACTTTGCATTATCCTTGCTAGCCTTTGACCTTGCATTTCTTTTACTCCTTTTATTCTTGGTATTGTTATGAAACTTCTGGAATTCATGATCATTATCATTCCCAGGTGTTACTTGAATGCTAACGCTTTTTAAATCTGCCATTGCAGCAAAAACGTAATTCGATTAATATTCAGTTTATGTTTTACCTCTGCAGCCTAAAAATGAAAAAAAAAATCATACGTAGAATAGAGCGTTTATTTATGTTTTATACTTGATATTGGAAGCATCGATTGCGATTATGCCAAGGACAGATTTAAAGAATAACAGTACTGTAGTAGAAGTTTGTCACCGTCATTGGCGATTTGACGGTCGCAAATGTAGTTTTCTTGGCGACGCTGAGCGGAGACAGTAAAACGGATTTTTGCGACCGTCAAATAAAAATTGACGGCTAGAATACTTCAAACTCAGTACTGTATTCCGATTATAATGTCTAACGAATACGTTCGAGCTTAAAAAAATGTATAAACTTAAAATCAAATGAAATTCCGCGAAACTTCATAAATGATTTTGGTGCATAGACGTCATGGCTAAACGTGACGGCTTACAAATGAGAACTTACAAACTGAAGGTTATAACGTTACTTCTACGATTAAAATTTGGATAAATCACATTAAAACGACGTTTTTAAGGCGGGTGTTGTTTCATTTTCGATAGTACTGTAATAATCAAACATTTGTTGATCCCAGCAGTTCAAAATGGCGAATCACTCAACTGCGGATTTGATGGCAACTTTTAGCGAATAAAACAAATAATTACATACAAAATTCCATCATAACCACTAGTTTGAATGATGTAAAAACCATTGTAAACTTCTCAATCACTGTAAAATTGCTAGTTTGACTTGTTTCAAGACACTAATGTTGTGATGTCGGAGCGTCGTATTGTAACAAAGAATGAGATGCATAGACTAAAGACTGAAGAGTGACCACTGAAGTATAGACCAATGTATGCTACAGACCAACATGATCAAGAGTAGTAAATCACTTAAGGAATAACAGTACTGGAGTAAAAGAGTTGCCGCCGTCGATTGGCGATTTGAGGCTCGCAAATAAAGTTTTACTGCATGCCGACACGTAACGAAGAATTCCAAATTGAGGGCGACAACTCTTCAATTACAGTACTATTATTCCGATTCGAATGCATTACAAAAAGAAATAGTACGCTATATCTTACAAAAATCATAAAGTTGAAATGAAATAAAATTCCGCGAAACTTCATGAATGATTTTGGCGCATAAACGTCATGGCAAAGCATATCGTTATGCAAATAAAAACGCTAAAATTAAATGTTATTAAGTTACTTGTACGATTCAGATTTGGATAAAATCTCATTGAAAGAACTTTTTGAGGTGGGTAATGGTTAATTTTGGATTATATTGTAGTAAAAGAACATTTGTGAATTACAGCAATTCCAAATGGTGGGCCAAGGCATGTCAGTTGTGGGTTTGACGGTAAATTTAAAAAAATAAAAACAGACATTACATAAAGAGTTCATCTGAATCAAAAATTAAATGAACACCATTTTTCATATGAAACGAATATCTCTTTCACCAAACCTCTCTCCATCCTAATAGAAAACAAATGATATGGGATGTTTTTCCATGACACATAATCAGTACACACATCAAAAAAGCAAGGGAACAGCGCTTTTATTGCTGTTCTTTATATCAAAGTCACCGTAAAGCCGTTCGGAAAAAGTTGTTCCTCGAGTTAAATTTATCAATGCCACTTACAGCTTAAATGAATAGCAGTATACTACTGTTGCCTTCATTTACAGCTTAAAAGCAGACAGGTAGCGTTTTGCTCTCCAAATAACACAATGTTCCACACCCGACTATTCTCGTTTTAATAAAATCAATGCGTCAGATATGTGTTGAATGCATAAATACAAATTTAGGAGAAATGTGGTATTAACTTTCAAAATTTAACTTCGCTTTTTTTTTTGTATAAAATCGACGTTGAAAAGTTCTTAAAAAATAATGTTATTACTATGCATGGTAAAGGTCTTCTGTATCTTCATTGTTTTTAAATTGATTGTCATTGTAACTGTATAAAAAAGAAGATGTGGTATGATTGCCAATGAGACAACTCTCCACAAGAGACCAAATGACACAGAAATTAACAACTATAGGTCAGCGTACAGCCTTCAACAATGAGCAAAGCCCATACCGCACAGTCAGCTATAAAAGGCCCCGAAATGACAATGTAAAACAATTCAAACGAGAAAACTAACGGCCTACTTTATGTGCAAAAAATGAACGAAAAACATATATGTAACACATAAGGGTTGCACTTTGTAAATACAGCTGTTTCTCAAACCACGCCTCTTTTGGGGAGATATATAATATACATAGATATGTTAATTTGTTAACGTACTGGTTCCCATTTATGATCTCTGTGTTTCATCTCATAGAGACATCACTTGGGAATGTAACCAGTATAGAAAAACATAGTAGCGCCTAAATTTTAAGTCTTAGGAGGTCCAAATATGGAGGTAAGGGTAGTATAGAATTTTAGTACAAGTTTAAACTCTTAGAAGTTCAGGGCATATAAATGTTGAAAATATGCCGCACAGCCCTATATTTTGACCTTTGAATAAAATAGTACTGCATATAAATTTTCCGTTCTGGGATATTATTTTTCACGAAACTTCATAGAAAAAGTGTCACAGTTTCAGCCGCAAAGGGAGTTCCTATGGGAAATTGCATTGTCTATATTTACAGAATTGCAACCTATACAAACGACAACCACTGAATTACAGGCTCCTGACTTGGGACAGGCATATATATACAGAATGTGGCGGGGTTTAACATGTTAGCGGGATCCCAACCCTCCCCCTAACCTGGGACAGTGGTGTAACAGTACAACATAAGAACGAACTATAAGAATCAGTTGAAAGAGGCTTAACTCATCAAATGGATAAAAATACAAATAATACAAATACAAGTGAACGTGGCCGGGTACTTGTACATCCAAACAACAAAAAAACACTAAGTACAGATCTGAGAGTACTCGAAGTTACTGACAGCTAGTTCAAAGCCAATTACAACTAATAAAAAAAATCATGCATCTAAGACTAAATTATCAATCCGTACACATCCAACATCCAATGGATTTAGTGTAAAGACGTCATAAACAGTCAGAGAAAAACATGACCTTGTGCAATGCCAAGATACAGGTATCGACGGATTGTAGATCCATGAATGTGTATATGTATATAACAATAATATTTAGTTTGCTTTTAATTTACTGATAACAAAATCAATATTAGTACCAATAAAAACAATATTTAATGATCTAATTACAGTGTTGAATTGGTAACCTTTTAGAATAAGTTTTTTTAAAGGATCGATAAGTTTACCAGGATCGTTTCTAAATTTCCGGGGACGGTAAACAATATTGCCGTAAAAATGAAGATGTGCAATCCCGTTTGAAATAAGTTTTCTACAGGTACAACCAAACTTCAAAACCAAATCTTTATATCTGTGGAAGAATTTAGTAAAGGCTTTAAGTTATTTGTGGTAACGAAATCCCTGGCTTAATAATTTACCAGTAATACATAGATTACGTTCGTTAAAATCAAAAACGTCACAACAGACACGGGCATAGCGAACGAGTTGTGATATATAAACACCGTAAGATGGTGCCAAAGGAACATCACCATCCAAAAAGGGAAAATTAACAATAGGGAACAAAAAATTTTCCCTTTTGTCGTAAATTTTAGTGTGGAGCTTTCCGTGTAAAACCGAAATATCTAAATCTAGGAAAGGACAGTTGTTACCGTTTAAATTAGATTTATTTAAAGTAAGTTCCTTTGGGTAAATTTCGGCAGTATATTGAGAAAATTCTTGATTATTTAACGAAAAAATATCATCAAGATAACGGAAAGTGTTGTTGAATTCACCAATTAAATGCAATTTAGACGGGTCTTTATTGAGTTTGGTCATAAACTGTGATTCATAACAGTACATAAACAAGTCTGCTATTAAAGGGGCGCAATTAGTGCACATAGGAATACCTACAACCTGTCGATAAACTTTGCTGCCGAAACGTACATAAATATTATCAAGGAGAAAATTAACAGCTTCAATCATCTCATCACACCTCCAGTAAGTATATCTAGCATATTTACCTTTCTCATTAGAGAAGAAGGCTTTAAATGAGTTGCAGCAAATATATTTGCATTCAGATTTACCAAGCGACCATTTAATTAAATAGTCATTTTTTTGTTTGATAAGATTGTGTGGAAGTGTAGTGTAAAGAGTAGAAACGTCAAAACTGTCAACAGAATCAAAAGGACCATCAAAAGCACGTAATTCAAAGAATGTTTTACACTCCAAAAATAGTTAATTCCACTATTTTCATATATTTTATTACAATAGTTTATGATAAGCTCTTTGATAGTAGCTAAGGAACTTGTTAAAAGCACTGAAACATTAGTTGTAGAACACTTACTAGAGGCCGAGATGAAACGATATTTTACTGGTTTTTAGTGTAGTTTAGGTAACCAATACATAGTAGGGACCTTCAAATGTTCAGAAGAAGCCTTAAGCTGTGATGTGGTTATGATATGTTTGTTAACTATATGACTCTCTGTGGGGCGCATGGACTTGAATGTAGATGAATTTAAAATTTCATTCTTAAGAACGTCCGTGTTGTATTTACGGCATACCACCACCACATTGATGGCTGCTTTTTTTTGGCCGGTACAAACACAAACCGCTTTGAAAGTTCTTGAAGTTTATTTCTTATTCTGGAAATAGGCGTATTATGTACTCTATTATTTACTTCTAAATTATTTTCAAAATGTGATATTCTATTATCTACCACATTCATACATTTATTTAAATAAGAATCAAGAGATTTTTTATCAGATTTTTCCCGTTTACACCAATTTTTTACAAAACGAGGAAAGAGCATCTTTGGTGACCTGACGACACTGTTTCCAATCTATTTTAGATGAAGGACGATATTTTGGTCCTTTTTTCAAAAAGTTTTTAACCTCTCTGTCCTGGACGATATTGAGGTCCACCGTAATAACATGGCCATAGAGAATATATCTAAACTTCGACGATTCACAGTTTCAAGTTTAATGAGTATTATTTACATTAACGTCTGATGTTACCGGCGTATAATTAAAAATTAAACTTATGCTGGGTTTTTTGTGTGTGTATGAAATAATAGGTGGTTCTGTGTTATCAAAATAGGGGGGTATGAAGTTTTGAACGGTAGAGTCATTAAATATACTAGATAAGTTGGTTAAATCAATACCTCTGCTAATATATTTAATTTTTAGAAAATGACGTTTATGATCTTCAGGTTTTTCGATACGCGGGAACAGCCTATGGTGGCAAAAAGCTGTAATTATACGCGAATATTCATACAGCGGGCTGAAGAAAGAGATGGTGTCACACTCCTCGAAAATATCATGTAATTTATTAATTGGTATTTGACCCAGTTTACATAATAATTGATGCCTGCCATTGTTTTTAAATATAGATTGGAGATTACCAAGTGTATAATTTATACGATGTTTAATTCGTTGATTTCGATTGATACGTTTGCCATGAGACCTATTATTTCGTTGTCTTTTATTCATAATATTCATGATATCAATAGAAGAAGTTGTAGATATGTTAGACTTGTCCAAGTATATTGTCATTAAGACCAAGGGGATAAGCTGTTTGAAGTCGTTTAGTTCAAGACAGTTCGATAATTTTACGGGAATCTTCAAATTGTTTATGTGATTACCCTTGTTGTTTCTGGATCGTTTCGAGCGGTTGAAATGTAATAAATTTAATACAGTGGTTGTGTTTACCTAAATGTTGATAAATTATTCTTTTGAATTTCTTAGGTTTTCGGAAGCGGTATAGATGTTCCTGTGTTCGTTTAAAAAACTCCCGTCCTGTTTGTCCTACATATAAACTGTGTTTATTGACACAAAGCAGTCTAGCATAAAAGTTAGATATAGAATAGAAAAAGATAAGATTAAAAATAGGTTTAGTTCGATCACAGAGGACCTAACATGTGGGCATTAATAACAATAACGATATTTATTCAGAGTTAACTTCAATGCTTACCTGTTACAATTCTATATGTAAATATAAAAAAAAGAAGATGTGGTATGATTGCCAATGAGACAACTCTCCACAAGAGAGTAAATGACACAGAAATTAACAACTATAGGTCACCGTACGACCTTCAACAATAAGCAAAACCCATACAGCATAGTCAGCTTAAAAAGGTCCAGAAATGACAAATATAAAACAATTCAAACGAGAAAACTAACGGCCTAATTCATGTACAATATAATGAACGCAAAACAAATAGGATACACAGAAACAAACGACAAACACTGAATTACAGGCTACTGACTTGGGACCAGCACATACAGAATGTGGCGGGGTTAAACATGTTAGCGGGCATCCAACCCTCCCCCTAACCTGTGACAGTGGTGTAACAGTACACCATTAGAACAAATTATAAAATATAAAAATCAGTTGAAAAAGGCTTAACTCATCAGATGGATACAAATCAAAATACATCTAACAAAAACACAGAGTGGACGTGACAGGGTACTTATACATCGCCACAACAAAAAGATACTAAGTACAGATCTGAGAGTACTCGCAATTACTGACAGCTAGTTCAAAACCAATAACAACTAACAAGAAAGAAAAAAATCCCCGACTTTATAATTTACAAGTGTTATATTAACATTTTGTCTTTTGCAATTCATAATTCATATAATTCATGATAAGGTCCGTTTGAATTTGCTAAGTAACTTATTTTTAAAGTATTAATGTTTGCTGCATATCAATCAATTCCTTTAGAATTTTTTCCCAGAACTTTTCTGATCTAGCTGCATATATATATCCGGATAATTAGCATATTACTGAAAGGTATACAGCCAGTAGAAAAATAGATTGAAGTTGGTATTCCAGGAATTTATTTGCATAACAACATCTTAAACCAATTTAATATCAAGCTCCTATAGCTTGCAGTACTTGTCGTTTGCTATTTACACACGGAAATAACATTAAATGGCAGTTTTTTTTTTATTTCATCTTATTAAGGTAGATAGGGTGTCTTCCTCCATCTTGGATTTTGAAATACCAGAAAATAATCGGTCTAGACCTTTAATAAAATGTGCAAATTTTGAGAGTAGTGGGTAATTCATGTGTAAGAATTTTCATTTAAATATAGAAAATGACATGTTTTATTATATTTATAATTGTATTTTACAAAAAACAGAATACTTTTGTTTGATTCAATTTTTTCCAACTTTGCCACATAAGGGGAGGTAACTCAAATGTAAGGGCAGATAATTCAGATAAAGTAACTTTTACAATAGAATGTGTTAGGAATTTATCTATTTTGTTATGTAGCAAGAAAACGGGCCCGGTGACCCCATTTTTTCTTTTTCTTATCTGAAAGTATAATATTAGAGCTATCTTCTCATATGTTATCTTAAAATTCTATGGTGTAGTTTTCGTTTTATGGCAGAAAATTGCGTTTTCCATGCATAATCTATACAAAATCTGTCAATTTTGCACAACCTGTAGTGTGAAAATAAGCCCCGTGACCCATTCTTTTTATTATTTTTTTCAAAAAAGCATGATATAAACTACATTTTGGCAAATTATTAAAAAATTCTATGGATTATAATTTAGACACCCCATCTTCCTTAATAATTGATAGCGTCCTGGCTAAACGGGACAAACATTGGAAAGAGATCTAGTTTTCAGTGTTTACAGGGGAGATCATATTTTGTCTCTAGATTTCTAACTTGGAGTATTGAATATATATATATATATAAGAACGTCTGAACCAGTGACGACTATATAACAGATTTTATCCATCGGATCACAAGCAGTGATGGTGATACAAGGCTGAAAATACATTCTATATTATATAATTCGTCTAAACAACAGCCCAACAATGTTAGATCTGTAAATTTTCGGAAGCAAATTTTTGTTCTTCCCTGGCCGGGATTCGAACTCATGCCACTGAGATATCGTGACACCAAATAGCCTTGCACTATGCCCGACGATATATATATATATATATACAAGTCTAAATTGAAAACAACGTTCAAACCTATGATTGCGTTGGATGAAAACCGCAATTTTTATACGTGTGCATGCAAAACAAATTTCTTGGTAGAGGGGTCTAAATACAGCACAAACAACATTTTCCAAAAGACCAAAAAAGTGAAAAAGTATATTTTAACAAACCGCATTTGACTAGCAGGTCGAACAACTGATGTTTTTAAACCCTGCTGACTGTTATTGTCGATTGCCAAATAAACGGATCACCAGATGTAACAAAATGGATCTTATAATAATTTATTACCAAACAGAAAACAAAAAACTTGCGGAAAAGATGGTATATCGCAAACATGAGGTGCAAATATTTGTACACCTTATCCGGATTTCGACAATTAATGTCTCTTCAATTTGTATACAATTTGATATCTATATTGTGTTACAAAATTCTAAGTTTATTTTTTTAGCAATTATGTCTGCTTAGCTCAGACAGTCAGCAAAGAAAAAGCAAACTACATCAATAACTGTCAGTAGCAGCTTCTGCAAGAAAGTCTATCAAAGGCTATCAGCTATATTGGTACCTGTACCACAGTTAAACAGCGATTACATCTGTTACAATTCGGGGGTACATAGTATTGCCATTTACCACATTATCCTTCTTCGACCGAATGTTAAAAACAACTGCTGGGGTATCCTCCACTACAAGAACAGATGATACTATATATACTTTTACTTTTTAACACTGGAACCAGTCGAGATCGTTCATAAGGTAATGTAACCTTATTCAGTATTATCAAAAAACTAATGTTAGCATGCATACTGATATAGCTTTTAATGTTTCTGGAAGTATCTGAGAAAAATTCGTAAAATGTCAATTTTTAATTTTGGTATATTGTTGTCGAACAATAATTCAAAGCTGGCTACACGTAAGCTAGTTTTAAATTAGTTACACAATACACAAAATAAATTTCATCTCCTTCATTGAGCAATGCACATATGTTAAATAAATGTTCATGTCTATTGTACAGCTCCTCCAAATAGATCCAGAAATTACTAAAGTTTACGACGACTGTTCGTTTAGGTGCAAAGCGAAATATTAACATTCTTATATGGGTATTGTAGGATGAGCAATTCAGGTTACGTAAAGCATTTGATCCAACAAGTTCATGCAGGAAAGTTGATTTAGAGCATTGGTTATTAAACATGCAGGACATTATTGGCATGCCCTATTTAGGAATATTTTCTGCTGTTTATCGTGCATTGTCGGCAAATGCTAATTTGCATAAAAGGTTGAAGAGCTTTTCTTTCAATAATGACTGTAAATGTTTCAAGACTTTCTGTCATGATAAAGTCGCAGTTCAGTAAACAGTTTGATAATTTTTCCTCCACAAATAACTATATTCAAATAAAATGCAACATAGAGGTCTGTAGGTTAACCTGTCAAGATTTGGTTGTTGGAGATTATGAGACATTTCCAGAAGTGAAAAGATATTAAAATCGATGGGGTACATCTGTCATTTGTTGGAAACATAATTTTCTCAAAACATAACTTAATTGCAAAAAGTAAAAACCTGACGGGTTAAAATGCAAACATAATATCCATGTACACAACAACATACAATACATGAAAAAAGTTCTAAACAAGTCAAGTTAATATTAATAATATACATTAGTATTATATATAAGTATATAGATAATTGAGCAATGTGGACCTTATTTTCGCAATTCCATGGATTACTTTTATTATACAGCCACAACACTTGACAAATATCTTTATTTGGATCTAAAATAGTTTACAGTTTGAGTTAAGCTGGTTAAAATTAGGATAAGGGTTTCAATTGTGTTCATAAATGAATTTCTAATATTACTGCTGATTTGGCAATAAAGGAAAAAGTGTTCCTCGTCATCTTAAATTTTGCAAACTTTACACACTCGTATGTTCTTTTGGAATTTTTTTATATCAACCTAAGGTGGTTTTGTTGCTCATGCTTAGGCAATTGGTAATTATATATTTTCAACTACTGAAAGAGAAGCTTTTTAAAAAAATTAATTAATTATCTAGCTTGTATAGTTTAAATTACATAAAAATGATTTTTAATTTTTTGGTTATTGACGTCAATTTATAATTTAAGTTTGAAATGTTTTGATAATTGGTTAATGTATTTGGCGCACAGCTTGGCAGCGAACCCCTATTTTATGGCGGTTGACATTGTAACCAAGGTCTGGTTTCAATGTAAATCTGGCAGAATTCGCTTCATCAAAAAACATTTCGTTTTATAAATAGTACCATTCACTACAGATGAACAATGTAAGGGTTTTGATGCACCTGTCTTCCCACGGTGATCCAAATTGTTCTAATCTTATATTCAGTTACCACAATCTGTGGTAGTCATTTATATATATATTTGATAGTACGGTTGCCATAATCAGCGATATGCCGGTAACTTCATGTTTTCAGATATACAAGTGACAGTTAAATTGCCAGAAATCTGCGGCACATACATACATTTATATTGAGATTACTTATATACAATATGTATAAATTTAAATAATATTAAAGGTTGTGGCCAAATACTGCCAATGTGTTGTTGGGTTTTAACTAGCATCTGGGATAATTGATAATGCGAATTAAAAGGTAACGTCGTTCGGACAGTAAAGTGGATCTAACGCGCATTGCAATTCGTTTTAAAATTTACGTTCGGACGTAAAACGTTTCGAATGCGAATTAAACTCATTCGAATTTGTTAATGCGAATTGAATTCGGATTACGTGTGAACGTGGCATTAATTTAAGAGTAGAGCAGGCCTACGGGTCATTTCAGATCTTCGTAAATAAATAAGTAAATAAATTAGTAAATATTGATTACAGTTTGATTTGAAATGAATTACCATGGCCAAAGTGCTTTTGAAATTATATGAATTCAAGCTATCATAAAACTTACATTGAAATCTTATTGCGTTCTAAGTTGTTTGTGATTGGTGATTGCTAAGCATTTTTCCTTTATGCAAAATAGAATAATACCGATTTAATTGTTTATTGTGGATTGTATATTAATATTTGGACTATTGTTAATTCTTAACTTGATAGTTTGTAATCGCTTTCTAAGATCAGTAACTTATTTTATCTTTTCAACAAAATTGTCATGCTTCCTTTAATATATTATGTACGAAATAAACCTTTTAATTTCAATTGCGTACATGTAAAACAATCAAGATATGTCACAAATGATCGATACAAACAAAACACAAAAGACGTGAACAAAACGAGGTTTTTGATTACAAGTATAATAAATTCTTTAAAGTCAAATGAAACTTCAAATTAAAAAAAGTTGAATATGTTTTATATACTTGTGTTATGCGGTTATTGGTTTCTATTGGTTAAATATCTGTTTTTCATTTTCACATAATTTTGAGGGTTTTATTTAAGATAATATAATACTTTGTTTTACGCCTATTAGAGGAAATCCGAATAATTGGTTAGAAAGAATTATATGTGGACAATAGAAAAGCATAAGACATGTTTTCCAAGGAAATATTTCTTAGAGGTCAAGCTGTCAAACCTTATTTATATTCTAAGTGTCAGGTTTAATCAAATAGAAAGAATTTCACATCAAAAAACTTATATACAGAACTAAAAGTTACATAACATTAAACTCTCTAACTATATATATCTTTGTATACTAAAATCTTTGTAAAATAATGAACTAATCTCTACAATTACATGGGAGATTCGCTTCGTTTTATTTGAAATATTTTGATTTATTTATTAAACATTTTACCTCAATTTATCATCAACATACTTGAATGGCTATGTTTTACTACAAAACAAGTGTACGAGAACTTTTTTGTAAAAGAAAATCCTTTATATTATCAAAATATTCATAAGTTTACTGCTATCAAATTATTGTCTTCCCGTACTCTAATTCGCCGATATATTCCCGTATGCAGTGACCTTAACTACGAAACCTCTCGTAAGAACTTCGGCAACCTCACAGCGCAAGCGCGAGGGGAAAACCGTAATGAAAGAATGTAAACAGACGTGCACTGGAAGGTAAATAGTAATAACTGATTCTTAAAGAACAAATTTAATACAACAAATCATTTAACAACTGTTAAGGACAAGGTTAATAAACAAATCGGAACGCATGGAAAACGTAAAAAACAATATCATGGCTTTTTTAATTCACTTATTTGTCAGGTGCTCTGTGTTAATTGCTTATCAATGTCACGATCCGGTAAACTTCGGCAACAAACTCGAAATTTAAATAGCTTGCGATCAACAATCAATGTATGACATATAGTTTGTCGATGATAAGTTATAGATTTCACTGTGTCTAAACTACCCTTGCAAAAAATGTTAGATTAACGGAGAAATAAGTAAAAAGGCGCGTCAAAATGATGATTTGAGTGAACCTTGCCTCGAATTTGATTAATTTCTCGTTAAATTGTGCACATTATACGGAAAGAAAGGTACGTAAAGAAAGATATTACTATGGAGATTGCAAGACTAGTCACTTTGAGCACCTCAATATTTGTATTTCTTTGCATGGAACGAAAGAAATAGGTCATGTCAAAATGGAATGACCAAGTTTTGTCAATTTGTATGACCCGGTTTCGTCCTAAAATTTCACAAAGCCATGTCATAGAAAATAATGCATAACTGCATAAGGTAAATTAAACTCCGGCGTTCAAAAGGAGTTTGATGGCTCGTTGGAAAACGATTTCTTTCAGAAGACAACTTATTATTTATTTGAATCCGTTAACACTTGAATTCCTGCTTTATTTGAACAAAAACAATTTTAATTTTGCTTTGTCTTATTAGTTTATCCTGTTTGTGTGAGACTCAATTATGAATTGTTAGACATTTTTTTAATTCAATAACGATACAATCTTGTTTGGAATTCTTGGTTGGTTTTTAGCTCACCTGACCCAAAGGGCAAAGTGAGCTTTTCTCATTACTTGGTTTCCGTCATCCGTCGTCGTCTGTTAATTTTTAAAAAATCTTCTTCTCTGAAATTACTAGGCCAAATTTAACAAAACTTGTCCACAATCTTATGTTGGTTTTTAAAGCTCTAAAGATATGATAAAGAAAATACATAATTGTAATATACATTTAATTCAAATGTTAACTTGAAGTTTCATTGGAATTTGAACTAATAATATGATATGGAAAATATGCGTTAAAAGGCCAATTAAAATTAAATGCGCTTACCTGAAAATAGGAGAAAAGTTGAAAATCCCACAGCTGTGTTATGTACCTGCTCAAATGTGAAAACTCGCACTAGGTATTAGACACAAAACAAAGGTAACAACAACAAAAAACAGGCTGGTAACAACAGTTGCCGTATAGTTTTCTGCACGAGTAGCTAGGTGAATGTCCGAGGCGATAGCCGATGACCTTGATCTGACTACAAGTGCAGAAAAACTATACGGCTGGTTGTTACCATCCCGGTTTGTTTCGGTTTTTTATTTTGTTTTTGTTTGTTACTTTTGATTTGTATCTGACTTGTACGACGTTTTTAATTAGAAAGTAATACATTTTGAATTAGATAGACCATTGCATAATCAAAAAGCTTGAACACAATAAATGTCCATACCAGTTCATGTACTACGATGTTTAAAGATATGTAGTCTTTAATAAAATAGGGATTTTGCATTAACACTAGCGCTTCCCAATTTTTCAAGCTGTGTGCGAGTGAAAATATTGTTAATTTCCTTGATACATATCAATGACGTAGTAGTAAATTGTAAAGTTGGGGTGGGGGTAGGGGACATCACTTATGGAAGTGTATGGACGGGTATTGTGCTCTTTCCAGGTTCCTACGCCCCAGCATTTGGTACCTGTTGCAGCTAAACAATCAAACATTTTTATACATTTCTAGCAAAAATATTAAAAAAATAAAATAATGATAACTGCAAATAAAATCTAGTGAGAGGACATTTGCCACATCTCTGGAGTAGCAACTCTTAAATATATTTTTTTAATTTAACATATAATAGCCTGTATCACTCTATATCAATATTTTGGGTGTATTATATGAATGTCATGTAAAATACTGCATGTTGTAAAAATTATATTTGTTATATGTGTATGCCCCCCCTGGGACCTAAATTGGAAAATAAAATATGATGATGATGATGGAAGTGTTTAACGACCTTGACTAGCTTTACAACCCTCGCCCGGTCGGCTCGGTGCCCGAAGGCGTTTGGTGAGCGTTTAAATATTTTCATGCGTGACGATGGAAAGTTGGAAAGGACGGCCGCCCATTTTGGTTTTGGTTAGATCTTTTTGGTTTGTTGACTATTTTGTTGTTGTTTACTGCCTTCACAACGACTGCTTTCAGGGCCAGTTTAGTCAGCTTGGTAGCCCACTAACCACGATGATGAAGTACTGGTCGATGAGTCTCGAACATAATAATAACGATGACAGGAAGCTTTATCAGGACCAAGATCGTAAGACAGTGAAATGGCGGTCCATTATCCAACACCTACGATACAGACCCTCTGACGTCAGTCGGCATAATATGTCCCCCATAATTGGTGTTACGGACAATATGCTAACGCGGGTATTTACGCGAAACTTGAAGTTTATACAACGTACTGTACAGCGTTGGATTGGTTTCTGTCATCGAGAGTAGTTTGTCGTTGACCATCTATCAGTAAACCAACATCATACATAACACTTGAGTATCGTATTGATTTAAATCTACTATGTTAAAGGCGGAAAATCAGGAGTAATATTTTCAGGTCAATCACCCTCAAGGGGTTTTCATATGTTGTGAAGGGCTTCATCATTATCAATTATCGTAGGGTAACCTCTAGATGTCTTTATGTTTCTTTGCTTGACATTTAATACACATTGGTCATCGCATATCAAAGTTAAATAAACAAAAATAGAAGCGTGATCGAAAAAGAGAATAGATAACAAAAGTACAAAAAAAGGACAAAAATATTTATAAAAACAAGCATTACATAGACCCTATTTAAACACTTTGGGGACTTTATATGCTTTAACCAGATAATCAAATAACAAGTTCTATTTCAGTAATTTTCCGGAATGTGATATAAAATACAATGAAAGAATTGTCAAGAATGTTAAAATTATGTATGTTTGCGCGACTACAATTAAAAAATAAGTTTTATGAATAATATAGATATAAGAAGATGTGGTATGAGTGCCAATGAGACAACTCTCCATCAAAAGTCAAAATTTATAAAAGTAAACCATTATAGGTCACAGTACGGTCTTCAACACGGAGCCTTGGCTCACACCGAACAGTAAGCTATAAAGGGCCCCAAAAAATTACTAGTGTAAAACCATTCAAACGGGAAAACCAACGGTCTAATCTATATAAAAAACGAGAAACGAGAAACACTTATGAACCACATCAACAAACGACAACTACTGAACATCAGATTCCTGCATGAACTCATAGAAAGTTATGATAAACAGAAAGTTTACAAAATGTAGTTAATAAATGACGATGAAAACCCCAAACATGAGCATCAAACAAATATCAAAATTAAAATATATAACTTTTGATTCAATAAAAATCAAAAAAGCTTTGCATTAAGGCTATACGTCAATAGAATATTTACCTTGTTTACATTTGGTTGTTAAATTTGTTAATACAGTTATATCACAGAGAGTAAGTAAAGCCTTTCCATGACTTTTCAGACATTTACACAGATCAGAATATTGTTTCAATTTAAAAGTGAAATAAGACGGTATTTTAGTATGAAACAATTTTAGCTGTTCAATTAATATTAGTTAGAGTCGATCAAAGAAGGCGACAGTAATTAACACAGATCAGAATATTGCTTCAATTTGAAAGTGAAATAAGATGTTTTTTTAGAATGAAACAATTTTCGCTGTTCAATTAATATTAGTTAGAGTCGATCAAAGAAGGCGACAGTAATTTACCGATGTTTAAATCTCGTTACTCGATTAGGAAGAGACAAATCAAGGTAACAAGCAAAAACTGAGGGAATGACATGGACTCCAAAAGGAGCAAGACTGGGGGAAATACTTCTTCTAGTTGAAGATCGCATGTGTACAATGTAAGTTATATGTGGCTGCAAATTTGCTTTTTGGATTTCTTTTAACTATTTATGATCGAAATGCCTTATAGTGGGGCGGCTAAGTACCGATATTTGACAAAATCACGCAAATGGTGATACAAGCATAGGATTTGGCACATACGTTCTTTAGGATGTACTTTAGCATATTAGAGGGGTAGCCAACATATTTTTGAATTTTTTTATTATTTGTGAAATAGAAAAAAAACCACTCACAAATGAAAAAAAGGACGAAATTATTTCTTCTGTTTCATTACAAGACAAAATGTTTCAAGAATATATCTGACAGCGAATTGTAACTTCTCTTTCCAAGAAGGTAGAGTAACGAGTTTTTGAGTGTAAGTTTACTATGCGAAAAATTTGATTTATCAGTGTTGTGTTTTTCACTCGAGTTTATGTTCTTTTTTGCCCCTAGGATAAGGTTACCGTAGCTGTATTTGTCAAACCTTTCGGAATTAAGGGTCTTCAATGCTCTTCAAATTTGTACTTTATTTGACCTGTTTAACTTTTTCGATTCGAGTGTCACTGATACGTCTTTTGTAGACGAAACGCGCGTCTGGGGTACAAAATTGTAATCCTGGTATCTATGATGAGTTTATTATCAGTATATATTTTTCTGTTATGTAAATTGTTGGTTGTTTTTTCGTCGTTTTATTTTCTTGCATTGACCATTATTTTATCTGACTCTCTTCGACAAATTAGATTTAATTTTCTCTTTCGTATTTTACATTTTGCATATTATTTTCTAGTAATGACGTTCGCCTAAACGCATACCACAATACGCGTCATCTGATTTTTCAAAAACCTTTTTATTTATTTTTCTTTGGCTATAAACATTGAACTACAAGACAAGGATCTGCCTTAATCACTTGGTCATAATAATTCTTTGGAGGTATACAATCGATGTCTTTTCGTACACCGTAGCGTTCAACCTTGACCGACTTTGTCTGACCTTTGACATCTATAGGGTCAATTCTAATTGCATTTCGAGATGACATTGCTGGATTTTCATCAAAGTAATTAAATGGTAACAAGAAAAAGCTTTGTTCTGTTCCAGGAGTGTGCGTGTCTGGTAGGTCTTCTTTTGTAGGAATATGGTAAAATCCCATTGTAATCCATGCCACGATGTCCTGTGAAAAGAAGGTTATAGTCATAATTAGAGCACAAACTTATTGTAATCTTCATATCTATCCAAATATCATTGTATGCATGTTGCAAGTATTTGTTAATGAATTAGTTGTAAAAATAAAAGTGCTTACAGTGGTTTTTACGATTTTGCTGTTTCAATCATTTAAAAGAGTAACATTATATTAAACAAACTAAAAAAACGGTGCCTTTTAATAGTACACACGATTTAATTACTTTTATGTTTTTTACCTTATCAACAATGTTGTCATCGTCGTCTATGAAATCCTGAAACCTTACTATAGGTTGGTCTGGATTTTTGTGCTGGTAGATGGAACTGCTTCCCGGTTCGCTTTCTTTTCGTTTGGTAATAGCAAGTTGATAGCGTGACCAACTAATACCTGGTTCGTTTCCCGTTCCTGGTGGTCGAATATTATGCGTCAATCCTGTATTCAATATTCTATAACCGGGTGTATTACCGAATTTATCTTTTATATTATTATTTGATATCACTAGGAGTTTGGGTTGCTGAAAGTTGTGTTTATATGCTGCTTGCTTCTCAGTTACCTTCAATTTTCTGGCAAATCTTATTTGATGTATTTTTGAATTTGGATTTTCGTTACTAGAAACGACATCATTTTCAATATCCAGAGTTTCAAATCGGTTGTTTCTTCCTTTTATATCCATGTCAACTTTAAAGTGATATAAATGTTGATGAATCAGACCCATTAAATTTTCACTTATTTCAAAACTGTACGGATTTTGACGTCCGTGATATGTTGCTATTATAACGCCCGAAGCACTGACCTTCACTTCTATTCCACCAGTTTGGTAAAATATGTAATCTATAATGTAGTCATAATTCCCAGCGGTTATAATAGTTCTGACAATTAATACGACACTAACCATACCCTCGTAAAATCTGTGGGAGGACCTCGAGTATCCATGGTGACGTCTCAAAGGCATTTCAGTGTTAAGTTCAAATACACAAAATGAACGTGCATTATGAATTGGAGTGTCTGAACTTCTGTCTACAAAGTATGAACCGACGTATGTTGCATCAATGGGACAGTCTACGCCAGGTTCTAAATACTTTGATCGCAAGCCTAGCAATAATCTAACATCAAAGAAATTGAAGTAATGTTCCGTTGGTTTATATCCAGAATAAAACGATGTTAATTCTTGTACACTTATTTCATATGCTATACGCTGATTTTTGAATCTTATATCAAAAAGACGTGGTCCAGTAAATATTGACATACTTATATCAAATTTCCAAAACATGTATGTGACTTGTCTCCCTTTGATGTTGTATCGTTTTCCATCTGGAGAAATCTGTGACGGGTTTCGTAATGGTTTAGAGAACGGTGGTTGTCCCCTTCTTTTCATGCTTAAAGAAATATTATCAGATTCTTCGGGGAAACGGATTTTTTTAATTCTTCGTTTATTTCGTATGTAAAAATCTCTCACTTGGTTCCATTTTTCAAATATTCTTCCATTAAACCAAATTTTTAAGACTTTAAAGATTTCAAAATTGATTTCTACATATACTGAAAAATCTACTGGTCTCAAAAGATTGTGTTCAGAGTTTTGATTAAAACTGTACCAGGCAAACCTTTTTTCTTCATTCTTTGATATCGGAACTTCAGCGAAAAGCCCCACATCTAAACATTTGTTCCCACAGTTGATCAGATTACCTCCGTATAATTCATAAAGCGCTCTTCCGAATTCTTTGTCTACATATTCTTTCAGTCTTTGGGAAATGCTGTCAATAGATGTAAGAGGCCTTTGAAAGAATGGAATTGGTTGTGATCGATAAGGAACCAGTCGGTATCCGTTAGGAAATGGAAGTGGTCCAACAACTATTTCAAGAACATTTGGTGTCGGGTCGCCACCTCTGATTAAGACAACATGCGCCTCTCGTGGTGGTTTACTATAACCATTATCTAAATAGTTCAACACTGCTGCTTTAGATGGCATAAACATTTCTGCTAGGAAAAGATAGTTACTCTTTGAAGTTGCGTTTCTAAATTTGGTGAGATTTAGTTCTTTACTTGAATACAAATAGTCAAGTAACCCTTTCATTTCTTTTCTTGTAAGGTCAGTAAATACAGATGGATACTTTGGTTCATTCGTATTAATTCTACCATAAGGGTTCTCACTATTTTTTCCACAGACTCCAATAGATTTATTCTCTGAAAAAAATAGTATTTAAGTAAAAACTCACTGGTGTCACCACTATTTCATGTATTTTGCAAACATTTTTTCATGGCATTTTCAAGGAATGAAATTTAAACAAACTATGTAAACTATATTTAAATGTCAAACAAAATATTTGTAATGTAATAATTTAAAAAACGTGAAAATAACATTTTGCAATAGGAAATGCATAGTTCTTGATTTCAACTTACTTAAGTTATAGATTTTGTTCTGTATTAAAAGAGGTAAACATGTTTAGGGAAAATAAATAAACCTGGTACAAGTTTAAAATTTGAAAGTGAAAACATTGCTTTTGGTGTTTCTTTTTCTAAATGTGACCACCTTCAGTTAATACTTCATCAAGTGTGAGGCAGATAACGATTGTTGGCGTCCGTAAAATTTTCGGAGGCATAATTTCAACTTCACTACTTAAAATCTTGGTTTAAAAGCTAGCAGCAACTGTCTATCACGGAAAGCATGATAGGAAATCCAAGCTCTGGAATATGATATCAACTGGGAGATATATACTCCACATATAGGCACTGCTGGAATATTGCTACATATAAATGGAAAGTTCACAAATGGGAAGCTGAAATCAACTCTTTTGCCATAAAGTTTTGATCTCAAACGACCCTCATTGTCAATTTTGAATGTAAGTCAAGATATGAGGCAGACTCAACTGTATCTGTTATATCCTTTATTTCAAATTCGGTGTGATAAACATTGTCACCAAACTTTGAATTATTAGGGAGAGAAAATCATCAATATAGTGGAACGTGAAGTTAAAGGATAAGATTCTTTTCATTCTTCCTTAGAAGCTCTTGCATGAATTCAGCCTCAGGTGAATAAAAGTAGAGGAGCACAGTTGATTCCCATGGTAATTATTTGTTGAAAACACGTCTTCCAAACGTAACAAATATGTTTTCAATCAAGAAATCAAGCATCTTAATGTCGTAGAGTCAATTTGGACCTTAATAAATATTTTTGTGAAAATTTAGATTTCAGCAAAAATAACAAGATATACTTCAATTCAATTCAATTCTTTATTACTTTAAGCACATTATGCTTATCGGTGCAATAAATACAAATGCATTTTTTATAACACAACATGACATAATACATCAGAGAAGCAAATAAATATCAAGTATTGACAACTAACAGTTCGGTCCTATGATTAAGTGCATTAAACAAGAATTTACACAAATTACGCAAATCTTTGACATTTTCAGTGCTGAGAAGTTGTACTAATTTGATGGACGTCTATAATAATAAGGTTTAATAAACTGTCTCCTTAAGTCTCTATAGCATTTACATTGTAACACAAAATGGAATTCATCCTCAGTGGTATTCAAAGTACAAAGACTACACTTTCTATCTAACCTATTTACTCCATGATAACGGCCTACTTCAACAAACAAATTATGTGAAGACAATCTAAGCCGAGTTAAATACACTCTAAAATTCATATGTTTGGTTAGATAATTCTGTAAACATACATTATTGACAATATATTTATATAAATAACACTTAGATGAAATGTTCATTTGATCATTCAAAGTCTGTTTTGCTTGATCATATATCCTTGTTTTTACAAATAATAATAAATTTGTATCAATAATCAAATTGTCTTCGTTACACCAAATCTCATTTAAACCTAAGTTAAATAATAATTGTTGTAGTTGATAAATCCAACTGCTTCTAATATTCAGAAATTATACAGTTGTTCCCTGTAGCAGTTTTTAAGAATACAGTTGCTTGTTGATAATAATTTTAACCAGTACTTCACTATTTTGTACATTCTAAAATATACCAAAGGATATCTACCCAATTCAAAATAAACCATAACATTTGTTGTACACTGTTTGACACCTAATATATTTTTGCAAAAATCAAGTTGTATTTTTTCAATATTTGGAGCTTTATGGAAGCCCAATATTTCACAACCATAACAAAATACTAATAATGTAAGTATCAAAGAAATTCAAATATGTAAAAACATTCAAATACAATGACGAAACCTTCGACTTTAAACCAAATACAGCTTTTTTACTTTGCTCAGCTAAATGTTTTTGAGCTTTAGCAAATTTACCGTTAAAATTTAACAGTACACCAAGGTAACAAATTTCATCCACTATGTCAATAGCATTGCCATCATAATAAAAAATTTCTTCGTCTTTCAAAAAACCTCCGTTTCTAAATACCATAATTTTTGTTTTGGCAATATTTACAGTCAAACGCCATTTACAAGTATATAATAATAATGTGTCTAACATATCTTGCAAGCCAATAACTGAATCAGAAAATAAAATCATGTCATCAGCGTACATAAGTAAAAATAATGATAAGTCTTGTACTTCATATGGTATATTACTATTACGTTTCAAAGTCATTGACATATAACGAAAAGAGTATAGGAGAAAGAACTTCCCCTTGCATAAGACCAACTGAACTTGTAAACTGCTCAGAATAAAAACCATCAATTTTCACACATACTTTTACTGTAGAATACATTGATTTTAAAACAGACAGCAATTTGCCTGTTATACCAACTCTTGATAGTTTCAACCATAGGTTAAGTCTAGTTACGGAGTCAAATGCCTGTTTGTAGTCAACGAATCAGCAATATAAACGTTTTTTCTTGAAAAGTGCTTTCTGGACGAGTGTCAACACACAATAAATTGCATCAACAGTGCTACTACCAGGGCGAAATCCAAATTGCGCATCTGTAATAATATCATTATTCTCGGACCATTTTATTAGTCTTGAATTTATAATAGATGTAAACAATTTAGCTAAATTACTGACCAAACTGATTCCACGATAGTTCGCTGGATCGGAGGGGTCGCCTTTTTTAAAAACCGGAATTAACACTACGAGTGCCCAAGATTTCAGAAAATGTCCTGATGCTAATATCCTATTGAATATTTCCTCTAGGAACGGTAGCAGAATATCCTTGAATTCAATGAATAACTCGTTAAATGTACCATCAGTACCATGACTTTTACCACGTTTAAGGTTAGAAATACACTTCAGAATTTCATCTTGTGTAATAATTCGATCAAGGTCATCATATGTTGTGTCGGAAACGGTCTCTGGAGTATCGACTGTCACATTAATACCATCATTTGTGACCAAATTTCTAAAATGCTCGAAGAATTCTGAAAGTGACACATCAGAAGTTTTTGGCTCTCTTCTTTTGAAACAGTTTATAATATTTCCTTGGGTCGCTTTTACGCAATGCAGCTATCATATCACCCTCTTGACGCTTATATTTTCGTTTTAGTTCATTTTCTAAAAGCTTGTATCGTCTTTTAGACATAATTAATATTTGATTATTTTCGACATTTTTGTCTCTATTAAATGTATACAAAGAACTTATATAGATAGATCGAAGTCTCTTGCACTCGTAGTTAAACCGTGGTTTGTCATCTTTATGTCGGGTCGTCTTACTACTGGTACGATCACAAGTATTATTTGAATTATGTGAGTTACAAAAGAATGGGGAAATAATGTCCATCAAATTGGAAGTAAAAGATTCAACATAATTGTCAATACCATCTTGGGATTTTTCAATATCAGAAAATACTATCTGGCTAAGTGAACCACTGTTTACAGTTAAAGACTCATAACACTGATCTTTTAGCTCTTCCTTCCATCGGTAACTATTATAGGAGTTGTTTGACATACCACTGTTACGCTCAGGCTCTTGTGAATCGTCCAATATGCATCGCAAGCGAACATGTAAAGGCGCTAGGTCACTAAAAGAAGTGAAGTTACAAACAATAAACTGGTCTATAATGTGTAAAACGTCATATGGAACCAATAAGTAGTCCACAACACTCATTCCCCGGGAACCACAAAATGTGTAGTCATTAGCTAAGCCATCCTTATGCCGACCGTTCAAAATACGTAGACCAGTGCTTCTACACAGATTTAACAGTTTTAACCCGAACTCACTAGTACTTTGATCTGGATTTCTTCTTACTGGTAGATTTGTGTCACTTAGATACCCAAAAATATGGTTGAAACTATTAAAAATGGGGCCACATACATTGTCATTTATTATAAAATCATTAACTATAGCAGTTCTTGCATTCATATCACCTAGTAAAAATACCTTTGAAGTATCTGATGAATATTTTTCAACAGAATTTAACAAATCATAAAATAAATCACAATTATACATTTTGAAATAGTTTGAATAAGCAGGAGGCAAATATACACATCCAATAAAATAATCAAACCCACAAGTTGATATATCCTTTGACACCTTAAGCCATATCATTCACTGTGTCTAAACTACACCGGCAAAAAATGTTTGGACTCGATAGTATCTAATGTCCGGTACGGTGACGGACAATCAACAGACAGAGAAAAGGTAGAATTTCTGTTTATTTATTTGTTTTTTAATGACATTGAAGAATAAACATACACATATAACTATTTTCGATTGTGTGATGTAATATTTTCTACAACCGTTTTAGATTAATGGAGAAATAAGTAAAAAGGCACATGAAAATGGTGAATTGAGTGAACCTTGCTACGAATTGTTTAATTTCTTTTTAAATTGTGCACATTGTACGGAAAGAAAAGTACGGAAAGAAAGATATTAACACAGAGATTGCATGGCTAGTCACTATGAGCACCTCAATATTTGCATTTCTGTGCATGGAACGGAAGAAATGGGTCATGTCAAAATGGAAGGACCCTGTTTCGTCAATGTTGTTTATTACACAAGGACCCTGTTTTGTCTCAGTATAGGACCCGGTTTTGTTTTGTTTTGAAACCACAAATTTATGAAAAGCTACTTCAGCACGGATCTGGACATTGCCCATCGGAAGAAATTAAATGTTTGAGTCAAAAAGATGTTATACAGATGTTATTGCAATACAAACATGTGTTAAAATATATTTCAAACGGGAACTTTTCGAAATAGGGAGTAGACATTTTTGAATGCTATACGTATACCTTATTGATCTTATCTTCGAACTAAGTT